TCCCACTTTTTAATCACAGAGAGCGAAAAGAACTTTTATGGCAAGACGACGTAGGTAGTCAGAAAAAAATTTTATCTAGGACACTCCTCATGGTGCAAATTTTGTTAAAATGTTGAAAGGCAGTGAAATGTAGTACGATGCCATTTGTGAACATGTAGTGAGTTGAGGTGGAGTAGATAAATTTCATTTTCTTATGCGAATTGTAAGGTTGATTACAGAAAAGTGGAACACTACTTGACGATAACCCGGTCTTATGCGATCAATAGGGACATTGATGGGGACTTGTCCGGGGAGTATGTGCCATTCTGCCAGATGGCACAGCGCAACCTTCCGGCGACACGAAAAAAAACGAATAAAGGCCTTATTAACGAAAAAGTATTGCAAAGGAGGGTAGGAATATTCTGGAATTTTTATTTTTAAAATTTCGATTGAAAAGTGAATATTTCTGAGAAATACAAAAAGACGGCCATTTTGACGAAAAACGACGAAAAAGCAGAACAACGCCAAATATTGTGAAAAACGGTCGCACAAGAGACGGAACAGACGAAGCCTCTTATCGTGGCAACAACGCACGATAAGACCCTTATCAGTGGACATTAGTGGAGAAGGAAGCTACAGTGGGGAAGGAATATTCTACGGAACCCTCCCGTACCACAAATTGGAAGAGATAAGAGCGTTATCTCGGGAAGATTACGGGAGCGGAGGCTTGGTCACCAGAGACTGTTTTATGTGAAGGTACTGTATAAAACTGACTGTATAGCTAATTGGATGTCGTGAAACTTTAAATTAACACCGGTATGATTTGATATTTTAGAATATGAGTAGCTAGAAAGAGAAAAGGGTCAATCCATCTCCAATGGATTTAGTATAGAACTGTCACACAAAAACTTGTTAAAATAGGTTGTTCGAGCCGGGTTTTTAATGAAAATCCGTAGATCCGAGACTCAGCTATGTGGTTGTGTTCGCATGTCAACGAAAGCTGATCAAAAGTCGTTTGACTGATGGCCTAAAAATAGTAACTTTTTACTTAGCCCTAAGCAGACCAGAAAATCAACTGGCAAGGTCGAGACGGTGAAAAACGAGTAGGATTAAGGTAAATGACGCCTGCCAGTCGTTAATAGGTACTTTTTCTACGCTCCGTCAGTGTGTAGTATTTGGGCGAATGTTACACAACATCTTGCCTGGGTGGATGATTTCTACTGATTTTTTATTTTTTTTTACTGTTTTTGGTTTTTTCGGTTATGTTTTAAGTTTTTTGTTTCTCTTTGGTACTATACTAATTTTTGTTTGGTTTCTTGTATATCTTTAGGAGTTTTTGGTCACAAACCTCTCAGGGAACGAGGGGACGGCCCATCACCCCACCCTTCCTGGAACGTGAATTTTCGGTCTTAACTATGTTAAAAAGCTATTCACGGTAATCCAGAAGGCTTTCGCGTTTCGAACTACCCTTCCGCCCCGGCAGTTAGGGCCCACTAAGGGCGTTATTATGAGCATCGGCCCTAATAGGGCCCACTATGAGCATTAACGGTTCTGTCGGTCATGATGTTAAAAAAAGAATAACACCCAGGAGCGCCATAAAATTATCTATGTAACATTCGCTCGGAAGTACATGTCGACGGAAAATGAAGCTAAGCTATAAAACGACTGGCCAGCGTCTAAACTAAGCTCTACATGCTTCTCACCGTCTCTATCAAAGCCAGTTCTTTTGGTGTTCTTTCTAACAGTGGGTCGAAAAAAACGTTACTGTTCTCCGACTTCGATCAGAACGCTCAAATTAACTTAATTACATGCAAAATTTGTGAGCTAATGGCTGGGTCTCAGTATCCCCAGACCACGAGGTCACTCCTAAAAACAGGGCTGCTACTCCTTATTATATTAATTTTTTTTTTCAGTAGATAAAAATCATCATCTCCATCGAAGATGGATCAACCCTTTAACCTTAACTCCTAGCTTCTCATCGTCGGAAAATGAATTCAGATATTAAATAAATTCAATTCAAGACATTTTAGGGAAGCTAAAATTTTATGTAAAATGGTTTCAGTTAAAGTCCCGAGAGCCCTCCGGATTCCTGAATCCGGGGAAATAACACCCTTCATCTTCTTTCCGAAAGGCTGTTTTTCTACCCTTCACCGTTGTTGTGAACGGCCTTGCAACGGTTGTAGCGACACAAGCGTTGAAACTCGGAGCGGTCTCTGCTAACTCTGCTGTTCGTTCAATTCTCGTTATTGTTTTTATCATGATTATCGTTGTTATCACCGTCGCAACTATTGTTGTTCGGTTTTATTTTGGATTTCTTCCAAAATGGCCGTTTTCGACGTGTCTCAGAAATATAACGTCATCGTTTGAAATTTTAAAAATTTTAAAATACCAGAATATTCTAGCCTTCACAGTTTGACTAATCGTTTCAATAACACTGCTAATCCTTCAAAACTGCTAATTCGGAAGGTTAGCGGCTAATAATTCGAAATTGCTGAATCTGCGTTTTCGTCCATTCTGGTCGAATGTCACACAGTAACGAGTGGAAACACACCTTGATTAAAGCTTTAATCAATTGGAAACTGATGGGCAGTGAAAGAAGATTTACTTAAAAAAAACACTTTAATTGCACATCGAAAATAATTTCAATACACAAGTGTATGTCAAATGTTTTCTGTTTTTTTTTCCTATCAGTTCATAAAAATATTATAACATCATTAGATACACATAGTTACAATAACAATAAACAAAACAAACTTGATTACATTTATCGATGATTACTTTTCACCTGAGAGCTTCAAGATGGTTGGTAAATAAATGTTATTATATAAACTTGAAGCTTTTCCATGAAACTTCACCATGAGTTGCCACAGAGGAGTCTTCTTTAACTAATAATAAATAATAATTTTGGAATTTTATCTTTGCTTTTCTGTATGTTACTATGTCTTTAAAGTTGACTTTATCATCTGTTAGTTTGATCCAGATTATGACGGACTTTTTAAAGAAGGAATTTTCTATGTATTGCCCATTGTATCTGTCGCCGAAATATAATTTTTTGTTTCTTGTATTAATATCTATTTGGTGGTTATCATACTCAATGTTAAAATTACAAATAACAGTCGTTTATCAAAAAGGTAGTCTTAACTAGCATTACTTAATATTGAAAACCTTGCGAGTAGTTATATGACTGCTGGTTACGATTCAGATTATGGTTATAATTATTATCACAGCCCCATGAGTTGTTGTTGAAATTTTTTTGACCAGTTTGTCGGCCATGACCAGTTTGTCGGCCATATGGGTGCATGCGATCGTTACTATAGGGTCTATTGGTAGACCTATAACCATTTTTATGTTGATAATTGGAAAGCGATTTTTGGTTGGAATTTGCTTTTCCAGTATAATCAGGGCTTTTCCAGTATACTTTTTCTCTAATTTAGGAAATTCCAATGTTTCTTTGACTGGGTGATATGATGAAGGATTAGTGAACTTCGCTTAGCATGATTATTTCGGATGTTCTGATTTTTTTTGGATAAGAATAAAAAATTTAAAAGAAAAGACGGCTCTTTTTCCTTTTCCCCCACCTGCAAATTTTTCAATTTGAAAGTACTGTTCACTTTGTCCAATTGTCATGAAAATTGACACGCAGACTGATTAGGCCATAACAAACATATTTGGTCTTCATAATTAACCTTGTAAAACCACTCGTTAGACCATAAAATTCATGTTTGTGTGAGGTGTAGGGGGGGGGGGGGGGGGGGGGGAGGAAAAAGAGCCGAAAAGACAAAAACGAACAACGTTTTTTGATAAGTTTGTGGTAACTAAGATAGGCGGATGCTGTGTTTACATGCCTTTTACATTTTTTTAGTTGCTTTGACAGAGAATGAGTTGGGTCCACAATATGAGGTCAAAAAGTTTTTATTGTGTCAGAAATCAATTCTATAGAATTCTAAATGCTTCTGATGCTTCGGCAATCACTGTGCTCAAAATGCGTGTACTGTCATCTGGAACGTTAATCAAGAATTCGCCTGTGTTCCAACTAAAAAAGAAAGGCATCGAGTTGACAACCTTTCAACGTACTCAGCTGCCTCAGTTAGCAGATTTCCTTGAAAATATTTTGAAGCTGTCTGAAGATGAGGTTATGGAAATTGTGTGTTGCAACAATGGACATATTTTGAACGTAAATTTTTCGTTGCTTCTTAGTAAAGTGGAGTATTTACAGCGTAATTATTTGGTGAAGTTTTATCAGCTTTCAAAAATTTTAACCGTCAGTCCTAAATGGATTTACAGGCCTCTTTCCGACTTAAAAAATTTGCTTGATCGCTTGACTGGAAATGCTATTGCTCTAGATGAAGTCGGAAAAGTTTTGGCTAAATACCCCGCTATTTTATTTCTCAGTGAGGAAGAATTTGGTAATCGTATGTCGTTCTTTGATGATTATTATTTTACTACGAATGAAGTTCGATCAATATTGCTGAGTAATCCTAGTATTTTGGCTTATAATTCTGTTGTCTTGGAAAAAATTTATAGTTATCTCAGAGATACTTATAACATGACCCACGAAGAAATGATTGACTGCATGGTTTTCAAGTATAGTTACAAATTCGTCTTCTCGAGATTTGAGTTCATGAGGAAACGTGGCTTATATTTTGGACGTGATAAGCGTGGTATATATCCAGCAATGCGTCAAGTGCACCCTAAAAGAATTTTGACGTCAAGTGATAAGTCTTTTCTGGTTGAAGTCGCCCTCTCTACGCATGAGGAGTTTGAAAACTTTTGCAAATCGTTTTCGGAAAAAATTAAAGCTGAGCTTAATTTTTATGAAGCAAATTTTAGCGATGGCGAGGAATTTCACGAAGATCCGCAGAACGGAACGAAACTAGAACAGTCTGATTCAACTCCTTTTGATGACTTGCTTTGGAAGTACATGAAAGAAAAATATATGTAAAATCAAACCGCTTTTTTGTTTAGTTTTTAAACAGCTATCAAAATAAGACTGGAATTCAAAGTTCTTCTTTTTCAGATTGAAGCATGTATTACGACGAAGATTTGAATGACCTAGAAGAAGAAACCGATGAAGTCACGCCAGATATTTGGCAGGAAGCTTGTTGGGTCGTCATCAGCTCCTATTTCGACGAGAAGGGTTTGGTACGACAACAACTGGACTCCTTTGACGAGTTCATTCAGATGTCAGTCCAAAGAATAGTTGAGGATCAGCCGCAAATTGAACTGCAAGCAGAGTCGCAGCATCTCTCAAGTGACGTTGAACAGCCGACTAAATATCTGATCAAGTTTGAGCAAATTTATTTGTCGAAGCCTTCATACTATGAGAAGGATGGAACACCCTCCCCATTGATGCCAAACGAAGCTCGGCTCCGAAATTTAGTCTACTCTGCTCCCCTTTACGTCGACATTTCAAAAGTTGTGATTGAGCATGGAAAAGAGCCCCAAGAAGTGCAATACCAAAAAGCGTTTATAGGAAAGATCCCTATTATGTTGAGATCAACATACTGTCTCTTGAATGGACTGTCGGAGCGTGATCTGACAGAAGTCCACGAGTGTCCGTTGGATCCAGGAGGTTATTTTATCATCAACGGATCAGAGAAAGTCTTGATAGCTCAGGAAAAGATGGCGTCAAATAATGTGTACGTGTTTCAAAAGCGCGATTCAAAATACTCGTATGTTGCTGAAATTCGATCTTGCCTCGATAACTCCTCGCGACCGGCATCAACACTCTGGGTTAGCATGATGGCTAAGTCCGGTCAAAATGTACGCAAAGCAGCTTATGGACAACGAATTGTATGTACGTTGCCATATTGTAAAGCAGAGATTCCGATCATGATAGTTTTCCGTGCTCTTGGATTTGTGGCCGATCGTGATATTTTGGAACATATAATATACGACTTCGATGATCCCGAAATGATGGAAATGGTTAAACCTTCACTGGACGATGCTTTTGTAGTCCAGGAACAAAACGTGGCACTAAATTTCATCGGAGTGAGAGGAGCAAGACCAGGTGTTACGAAAGAGAAACGTATTAAGTACGCTAAAGATGTCCTTCAAAAAGAAATGTTGCCTCACGTCGGTGTCTCAGATTACTGTGAAACTAAGAAAGCGTATTACCTGGGCTACATGGTCCATAGGTTGCTCCTAGCAGCCATCGGTCGTCGTGAAGTAGACGACAGAGATCACTATGGTAACAAGCGGTTGGATTTGGCGGGACCTTTGATGGCCTACCTATTTCGAGGGTTGTTCAGAAACCTATGCAAAGAAGTTCGTATGTATGCTCAAAAGTTCATCGACAGGCATAAAGATTTCAGGCTAGAGCTTGCTTTGAAAACCAGAATTATAACTGATGGGCTCAAGTATTCGTTAGCCACTGGAAATTGGGGAGATCAGAAGAAAGCGCATCTGGCAAGAGCAGGTGTATCCCAGGTGTTGAATCGGCTGACATTTGCATCGACGTTGTCACATTTGAGGCGTGTCAACTCTCCTATTGGCCGAGACGGGAAATTAGCAAAGCCTAGGCAGCTTCATAATACGCTATGGGGTATGTTGTGTCCGGCAGAAACACCGGAGGGTCAAGCGGTTGGTTTGGTCAAAAATCTGGCTCTCATGGCCTATATTTCTGTGGGATCTCAGCCAAGTCCAATCTTGGAGTTCTTGGAAGAATGGAGCATGGAAAATTTGGAGGAAATTGCTCCTAGTGCAATTAATGAAAGTACGAAGATCTTTGTTAACGGTTGCTGGGTTGGCATTCACAGAGACCCCGAGCATCTGATGAGTACTTTGAAAAAGCTTCGACGACAAATGGACATCGTTGTGTCGGAGGTGTCAATGGTTCGAGACATCAGAGAGAAAGAAATCCGAATTCTGACGGACGCTGGAAGAATTTGCCGACCGCTGTTGATTGTCGAAGACCAAAAGCTGCTTCTAAAACGGCACCAGATCAACGAGTTGAAGCAAAAAGAGTATAATAATTACACGTGGTCAACTTTGATCGCCAGCGGAGTTGTTGAATATGTTGATACTGCCGAAGAAGAGACTATAATGTGCGCAATGACTCCTGAAGACATCCAACAAAAGGGATCGGGCTACTGTTCTACGTACACGCATTGCGAGGTTCATCCATCTATGATTCTAGGAGTCTGCGCGTCTATTATACCGTTCCCAGATCACAACCAGTCGCCAAGAAATACCTACCAAAGTGCTATGGGTAAACAAGCCATGGGAGTGTATATTACGAACTACCACGTTAGGATGGATACCCTGGCACATGTGCTGTATTACCCTCAGAAGCCACTGGTAACAACCAGATCTATGGAATATCTTCGGTTCCGAGAACTCCCCGCAGGAATCAACTCGATTGTGGCGATTGCTTCGTATACTGGATACAATCAGGAAGATTCTGTCATCATGAGTCAAAGTGCAATTGATAGAGGATTCTTCAGATCTGTATTTTTCAGGTGAAAATATATACTTTTTTCAATTTAGCTGAAAATTAACTGCTATCCAAATCTCACTGATGTATGAATTCCGTGTCATCCTTTTTAAAATGATTATGAAACCTCGACATTCTTCAAATTAAAAAAGAAAAAGAAATTTATGTTTGCTGAATATGTCTTTTCTTGGTTACAGTGACAAGAAAAAGCGTATTTTCGTCGTTGCCAACATTTAGTGTTACCAGAATTGCTGACTGCGTATCGCGAGTTTTAAAAACTCCTCCCCGTAAATTTAAATTTTATCACTATTATACGTGACAACTTCGAGAGTCACATACCAATTTTTGTTCAATATCTTAAGTTCATTAAATGTAAACTAAATTTATATCGTCATCAATTTTTATGTGTTATAAAGGCTCTGCTTTACTAAGTATAAAATAAAATGATTATTAGTTAATTGTATGTTTCAGATCGTACAAAGAAGAAGAAAGTGACAAAGGAGGCGTTGAGGAGGAGTTTGAAAAGCCGACACGAGAGACGACCAAAGGAATGCGACATGCCATCTACGACAAATTGGACGATGACGGGATCATATCTCCAGGCACACGAGTGTCAGGTGATGACGTCATCATAGGAAAGACGGCGGGACTCCCGGCAGAGGAGGATGAGTTGGCGAATGAACACCGAAAGGAAACGAAAAAAGACTGCAGCACATTTTTGAGGGCGAGCGAGACAGGAATCATTGACCAGGTCAGGATCAGATCTAATAGCAACTGTAATCTCACTTGTGACAACAAGTGACTTGTAAACTAAGTTATTTGTGATATTTATAAAATATTTGTGATATTTATTTACAAAGTTATTTGTTAAAAGTAATACAGTAATACATAGAGTTGCAAAAAGTTTGAGCTGGCAGAATTAATTTAAAACGAGCATTTTTTCTCCAGAGCATTTTTTGCATTTTTGCCAGAGCATTTTTTTGACAGAGTTTTGCGTTCAATTTCGATGTTTCAGACCACCTTAATACGTGAATTCTGTCCGAGAAGCTAGCATTTGCATGCAACATTTTTCCCATTTTTCCATAATAGGTCAGGTTAAATGCTCTGAATTAATTTTGTCTGTCTGAACTTTTTGCTACTAATAGTAGAGCCCAGGAAGCGATGGTTATTTTTCATCTCGCGTTTAATTGCTGACTGTATTCAGGTGATGGTGACGTTGAATCAAGAGGGAAGGAAGTTCATCAAAGTGCGAGTGAGGTCCATCCGGACACCCCAGATTGGAGACAAGTTTGCCAGTCGCCACGGACAGAAGGGAACGTGTGGAATCACGTACAGACAAGAGGACATGCCATTCACATGCGAAGGTTGGAAACAGACTAAATTGCCAATTTCCCATCCAAGTATTCTAGGATGTAACCTTAACGAAATTTACGTGGAATCACAGCAATTCACGCGCAGATATTGTAAAAGTCCAAAGTATCCATAATTTTCAAGCATTTTGAGATGAAATATATGTTCAATTGACGACTCTTTTCAACCCACACACGACACTTTTCCCATTTTCCTTCTTGTTTTGCGTGTTATTTTTGCTGAAAGCGTGATATTACGATAGTTATTTTGTTCACCATGCAAAATTTCAGTACATTGTGACACAACGTAAAAATAGTTTTTCAAAATAGTTTTTTGAAATTGAAATGGGGGGGGGGTGAAAAGAGCCAAATTTACTTATTGTGGGGGTATTTCTGTCTAAGTGTCTTTCAAATAAATGCTGCGAAAAAACGGAAATTACGTTTTTCGTATTTCAATGCATCATCTGTGCCTCAAATTGTTCTGTTAGCTCTAACCTGTATTAATAGATTTTGATCAGTTGACATTTTGAGATTAAACAAAAAGTCTGGCAGTTTTCTATATTTAGCGCCTTCCCGATCATAGGAAAGATATCTTAACTGTCATAATTGATGTTTTATAGGAATAATTCCGGACATTATCATTAACCCTCACGCTATTCCCAGTCGAATGACAGTCGGCCATTTAATCGAATGTCTTCAAGGCAAAGTGTCGGCCAACAAGGGCGAAATCGGTGACGCTACACCATTCAATGACGCAGTCAACGTGCAAAAGATTTCACAAGTGTTAGCTGAATACGGATACCATTTATGGGGAAATGAAGTTATGTACAACGGGTTCAGTGGTCGAAAAATGAACTCGCAAATTTATTTGGGGCCAACTTATTATCAAAGACTGAAACATATGGTCGATGATAAGATTCATTCTAGAGCTAGAGGTCCTGTCCAGAATCTAAATCGACAGCCTATGGAAGGTCGAGCGAGAGACGGAGGACTCCGTTTTGGAGAGATGGAACGTGATTGCCAAATTGCTCATGGAGCTGCCCAGTTTTTACGCGAGAGGTTGTTCGAAGTTTCGGATCCCTATCGAGTGCATGTTTGCAATTTGTGCGGTTTGATAGCGATCGCAAACTTGCGACAGAACAGCTTCGACTGCAAAGCGTGTAAGAACAAGACTCAAATATCGCAAGTGCGCATTCCGTATGCATGTAAACTGTTGTTTCAAGAACTGATGTCGATGTCTATTGCGCCTAGAATGATGGTTCAGTGATTACCGTTGTGAGAACTTAGTGTCATGATAAAACGATCGCAAACAAAATCAACCCATTTGATTTGGTCAGTTAGCTAAGTTAGTTAGTCATTAATTACCTCTAGCAAACGATTGCTTTGTTTTGTGTAATGATTGAATCTGGGATGGTTTTGTCTGGAATCATTTTGTCACTAGCCAATAATTGACTTTAACTATTTCTTCGAAACATGTTGATATCTGTTTGTTTTGTAGCTTAAATTAAAAATAATTTTTCTGGTTTTGATCGACCTGAAAATTTGATGTCTTTTTGATCATTTTCTTTTTCTAATTCGATAATAGTGCTCAAGGTAAGATTAATTTTGATGTGATTTAACTGAATTATCTGATTTATGTTTTTTTTTCAGAATGCTCATGAATATACAAAAAGAAGTCACATAATTATTTCGGCACTCAGTGTTGCTCAATTGTTAGCAGAATATTTCTTAGATTAGATCGCCTAATTTATTACGAAGTAGATACTCTATTATTTAATTAGACCTCGAAACAGCTTAATTAAAGATGGCCGCTGTGAAGCCAGAAATATGGGAGAAGGCTAATGAGTTGGTGGAAAGTGCGTGCAAGCAGGACAACAACGTGCGTCTCAAAGTGGGTCCCCAGTTGATATTGTTTCTGGATGGGAAAGGGAAGTTGGATGGCAGACAGTCTGATCAGCTGATCGATGCGATGAATGACTGGATTCAAAGCTCAAACTTCAAGGTCAGTGTGATGAACTTGATAACGTGTTTCGAAATGCAGTTTATGAGAAAGTATTGTATTAAAAATGGAAATAAGTCAATAGTTAGCGTTAGTACCTTGGAAGAATGTTCGAAGATGTTTGTCTCATTTAAATCGTCAGATTCATTTTCTGCGAAAGTCAGTCAAAAGTTGCGAGAGCAAGTTAACTAATAATCAGAAGCTGGTTTTTGTTCAACAACTTTTCTTACAAATCAGTGAGAAGTTGACTTAGCTTTATTATGAAACATCAGTAAGTTCAAGCCCAATTAATTAACTTCAATTTTCCACCAGGTAATTTCCCTCAATTATTGTCAATTTCGCACCTGGTCTTGTGGAAAAGCGCGTGCTTGTGGACTGTAAGGTGTAGGTTTAGAGTCCTTGCCGAATCTTGTTTTTTTCTTAATGTATAGAATTTGAAAATTTTGTTCTGGGAAAACTGCAGTTTTCGGAATATTGTTATTTTTTGTCGGCTTTATATCGAAACAATTGTCGTTTATTCTGATTTAGGTAATTTTTTGAATTGCAGGTCGTTCGGTAATTTGTAAATCAACCAACTCTGATTTTGTGTAATTTATTATATTGGTTTTGGCATGTGGTAATACATCGGCTTAGTTACCTTTTGTTGCGTTGTTTCTAGAACCGAAATGCGTGTTTTGTATAGCAAGTATTGCAACGCTCTGCTTCTCTTCGTTATTTTTGTTCCGACATTCGTAGAAAACGGAATATTTATGCTCGGTGTGTTTTCTCTTCAGTGAATTTTTGCCGATCGAAATAACAGTTTTCAGCAAAAATTTTTTATACCCCATTGAAGATATAGACTTACTGAGTTCAAATTATAAAGATATTTTACCTCCGATCAGGGGCGGATTTAGGGTGTGGGGCGGGGGGAGGAAGCCCCCTTTCAGGGATTCGACCCCCTGCCGACCCAAAGGGTCCCCCCTTTGATACTTTTTCAGAAATCCATTTTTGGCCGACCGACCCTAAATTTTTTCTAAAGGCGCCTTTGGCGCCAATATGTACTAACTTTGAAGGGGAGCGCGCGCCAAAAAAACGCGATTTTTTTGTCAACATTTTTTCAAAAAGTGCCCAAAAAAAGGGCTTCTTTGACTGTTTTTTCAAAAATTTGCCTGCGGCGCAGACAAATTTAGCCAAAATACGGGGCAAAACAGTGCTTTGGGATAGCTCGAAAAATCAATTTGGTCGAACTAAAAAAAAGGAAGGTCGTCAAAATTTTCGAATTTTTTTGAAAATAACGCCGCCCCCCCCCCCCCCCCCCACCCCTCGAGAAAATCCTAGATCCGCCCCTGCCTCCGATCATTTTTGTGAAGTTCTGGGGGTTTCAATATTGCCAAATTGGCCATATTCTGGACTAAATTATGCGCGCTTTGAAGAAATTATTCATAATGCTGAGAGTTTAACGCGAATTATTTATGCGTGGCGAATTATACCGCTCAATAAAATTGTTCCAAATTGATTTTAGGCAGGCTAATTGGTCGTATTAATATCGTACGACTCAAAATTTTACACTTTGATATTGTCCAAAATGTAAGTTTTCAATATTTTTGCTTCCCAAAATTATTCGATATGAATTAAGCGTCAGTCAGAACATTCAAGTTTTGGTCAGGTTAAATTTTTTTGCTTACGAAGAATTAAACGGAATTTTGCTCAAATTTTTGTACGGAAAGTTTAATATCGACGCTTCTTTTTCCAAGACTCATTTTCTTTTTAAACTCATTTGTAACTTATTGAACTTTCAGAGCTTCTTTTTGCTGCTTTTGGTTGCTTGTTTTTGTGCAGTACAGCTTCGATTCTATTTCTCTGCAGCTCAACTCATAAACGTGAAGTAATTCAGCGTCGCGAATCCTTTCGTTATCAATTTTTTCAAATTGAATTTTTGGCAGCCTAATCAGTCCTATTAATTCCCCATTAGAAGCGAATCTTTCAATTGCTAATTATTATTTATCGCTTGTATTTGATGGCAGACAGTTTTCTTTGATTCTTTTTTTTTTAAATAAATCAGTTTTATCAAAAAAAGTTGAACATGTCAACGTTTTCCGAAAACGAAAGTAAACAAGTTGCACTGACTGTTTCGACAACATTCTCAGATTTTTTTTTCTTCAAGTTAGGTTTTATTCTTGTACGTCGTGTGATAATAGAATTGTACGAACGCGTATAAAATTTTTGAATTAGGCATAAACGACTGCTATTGTCTTCAAAAAAAATTTTGCGATTTTTCGCACTTAAAATTTTAAATATTTTTGATTTTTTTTGTGCCAGAAAAGCGCTAATGAATTTCCAAAAAAAGTTCTTCTCTTAGTAAAATCAAGTTTTTTAGCCTTAATTGCTTATTATTACATATAACGATTGTTACTCGATCGCTTTACTCGCTCGAAAAAATCAAATAAAAAAATCAAATTTGTTCAAGTTTTTTAATGTCGTTCGAATTACGACTGAAAGGGCATTAATATGATATATGACTCGACCACGTGGATTGAGTTCTTAACGTTTTCTTGGGGAATAGAAATTTTACTTTTTGGCCCAGGTTTCTCAAATTGGGCGTTTTAATCAAAAAAGTAAATCAGTCAAGATTCTTGCTAGTGTTCAGAATTGACGCTGAAAATTCACTTTTCTAAAGAAACTTGAAATATAATTTCGTCTAGCTCAGACCTTGATTTTAAAGTAATTTGTTGAAACTAATTTGATTCACCAATATTGTTAATCAGTATACTATATTTTCAAATTATCATAAAGAAGTTTTTGATTCATTTAAATCTTTGCCTTGAATAACATGCTTGAATTAATTACCATTTTCAGACTGTGGTGTGATGAAAATATTTTTTTTCTTGCTTTAGATCAGTCTGATGGCGATTGACGTATTCAACGTATTGGTGTTCAAACTTGCCTCGATAGACCGGAATTTGCCCGCAAGTATGTTGCGAAAAACCTATTTCGCATACAAAAGTTATTTTTAAGCTATAAAAACATGTATATTGTCTGTTGCAGTTCTACAAGCTTTACTGGAGACTTTAAAAACGAGCAACGACCAGGTAAGACTTCGCTTGTGATAGAATGGTAATAGTAGAAAAATTTTCACGCCTGTAATGCAACAAGAGAGATATCAACATTTTTTCATCTTTTCAAATGACATTTTGACCAAGTGATGGAACACTGAATTACTTCCTTGAAATATTGTTATTTAGGTGCGGGAACAAGTACAAAATTTGCTGGGTGCTATCACGGATAAATGTACTCCAACGGTAAGTTCCAGTTACCAAATATTTTGTCAATTTTCGTACATTTTATTTATAGCTCGACCTCGCATGTAACGATCTTATTTTACTGCGGACTTATTAAAAAAGTTTATATCATATTTTTTTCCACTGAGCTGGATCATCGATGTGATTAGTATCAGATTCTTTTTCATTTTTAATTATAAAATTTGTTTTAATTTTTCATTTTTTTTTTTTTTTTTGGAATTTGCTTTTTATACCGACCTTAACTGTAAAAAAAAATATTTTGATTTAATACGCAGACATACACCTCCTGAAACGAAAATTTAGCCATATTATCTAGAATTCTGATTTGCATTGAAGGCGGTTGCGGACAAAATAGTGGTCAATGGACTCACACACAAAGCGTGGAGGGTGCGAGAGGAAACATTAGTTTGGATCATAAACACCCTTGAACAGTGAGTAGTACAACAAAAGTGTTCGTTTTTGAGTGACACGTCAACAGGTGGCTGCTCACATTTCGTCGGCTATGTTGCCGCTTCTTTATTTTTGTTATCACGCAAATTTACTCTTAATACTGTTTTATAGGTCTTGGTGTTTTGAATTTTGATTTTGTTTCCAGTCATGTTTTTGTTGCATTTTATGGCAGTTTTGAGAGTTTTGTATTGTTTTTGGCTGTGTTTGGGAAGCGTAGCGTCACTTCTGTCGAAATTTTTCAGCCAACATTTTCTTTTGAAATGGATCTCTGATTTAAAATAGTTTTCTGAAGATAAAAACCTGCTCTCCATTCCAGATGTTCATCTCAGTGTCAAAAATTTTCTTTCGTGAACGAAGTGTATTTTCACTTATTTTAGTTGGTCGGATTTAGTTGATGAAAAAATTCTCAGGATTTGAACCCCGTCTCCGCCAAAATGTCAATCATTGAAATTATTAAACGCCATCTGCTAAGCTGTCAACTAACCCAATTAAGTTTTTTTCTGAAAACCGAAAATCTTGATCTGCGCCTCCTTTTTATACTGTTTTTAAGTGTCTAAGAACGAAGTGAAGACGCTTCTTTATGTCGACACTTATTTATGTCGTGTTTTTTTTTCAGGGGACAGCATAAAAGTTGTTCCACCCCATTTTTGCCGACCATCGCAAAAAAGTTTCTTAAGGTATTTGCGTCCCCCCCCCCGAATCTGCCCCTGCTCCATATTTTATGTTTTCCAGAACTAGCAGTTATGGTAAATACTTGGAAGCATCAATACTGACAAGTCCTTGAATTAAATTATTTTCGAAAATAAACTTCAAAAATAGAATCGGTATTGCGGCTATTCTACCGCTTCACTCTTCTGTGATGTTTATAATTATTATGCCTCTTCCAAACAAAGAGTCAAATTTGTTTGTTACTTCATCAGTTTGAAATGTAGAGTTTTCGCACATAATTTAGATTTTTTTATGACGCCATGTGGGAAAAATCTGAGTCTAAATCACATCTTAAGTCAGTCTTTAAAAGAGAATGCGTATAATAGAGGCCTTCAAAATAATAGAGGGCTTCAAAATATAAGTCGGCCAATAAATAATAGAGCCTATGCTTAATCTCAGGGGACCTGAAAAGGTCTATCAGTGAAAGAATGTATGGCAGGAATAATCCATGGGATGTGCAATAAATGATATACTTCTCAGTTTCGAAGTCGCTCAATCGAAAATATGTCTCAATATGTTCGGTGCAATTCTGAATTACATGCAATTTTAGGGATGGACATCAGTCGCGGATTTAGAAAGGGCGCCTAGTTATGAGGTATTGGACCCCTCAACCCATTTTAGGCAACCACCACCAATATTTTTCTGATATATACTAATTTTGAGGGGGAGCACGCGCCAAAAACTGCAATTTTTGTCTGTAACTTCCAAAATGCGCACTAAAACGTTAATTTTGGACCTCTTTGTTTTTTCAATAATTTGAAGCGCAAATTTATGTTCAAGTTCGGTCTATTAGGGTTTTATGAGACCTCAGAATGGGAGTTTTGTCAAAAATTTCAGATCCGCGCGTGCTTGAAACGTAAACTTAGGCCATCTGACCAACAGGAGAGCTTCTTTTTGATATGTTCCAAAACGCAGTTTGTTAGAATTGGAGATTTGCCTGAATCCGGTTCAGGAATCTGGCATTCCGGCAAATTTCACAATTAATTCCGGAATCCGGTAAAAAAAAATTCGGAATTTCGTGAACGTTTTTACTATCTCGACCAAAAAACTAACTTTCGAACACATGAATTTTTGATTCAAAACTGGAATTCCATCATGCAACTAAACCAGTTTTTCCGATAACTCAGGAGTCAATCTGTTCCGTCTAACGGAAATGACGTTGATGCACAAAGCACAGTGAGACACAGCTAGCCATACTAAATACATGATTTGTGCAGTTACTCATCAGCACCATAAATGAATTCCGGAATCCTGAATCCGCCAGTTGAAAGTTCCGGAATTTCCGGTTCCGGAATTCCGGCAAAATCGATTCCAGTGATATCTCTAGTTAAAATAAATATTGATGCAATTTAAGCAGGTGCGAATGAAGAAATTTTCAACCATCTGAAATATATTGGTGCCATAAGCTCCAAATTAAAAAATATTTCACCTGCTATCACTAACGGATTGGAAAGGGGGTAATTTACCCACTGACTATCCAAAATGGCGCGCGCCAAAAACACGGTTTTGCTAAAAACTTCAAAAGTATTCAAAAGTATTTTTTGGGATTTTCCAAAATTTGTCTGATTCTTGAATTTTGTTCCACATGGTTCTCTCAAGTGTTCTAGGAGAATTGGGAAAATCAATTTAGGCGCAGACGTTTCAATGTGTGATTGTCCATGTGATCATTTTAAAGAGTTTCTGGTCTGTTAAACATCGGTCTTTTGTGATGTATGATAAGGCTGAAACGTGAGCCACTGTGGCCAAGTGGGTAAGACGCGCGCTTTTTAACATGATGTTCGTGTATTGGTATACCAATTCGGTCGCAGTTGGAGGGGTCCTAATGTCATCCGCTTCCTCAAGGTGGGAACAGCTACGGCCAAATAAACGAACCCCAACTCCCCTCCTCGGCCGTCCGGGGTAATTAAAACAGGATGAAATGTGCATTGTGATCTTAAGTTGTGGTTTCTGTTTAGTCATGGGAAGGAGGGGCTGCAAGTGAGCAAATTCATATCTCAAGTGTGCCACTTGGTTGTGGACGCCAACGTCGATGTGAGTATACTTATGAGTGAGTTAAAATGAACCCCCGCTTGGGTGCAACTATTTTAGGGACCCAGTGATTTCTAGGGACCCATCAATCATAGGTGTATCCCTCACTTGTCATGCATTCATAGAAATAAGATAGGTGGGTTTCTGTAAAAAAAATATAGAAACAATTATTTCTCACGATATCAATTCAATTGAACAATATTTGTGGCACAACAAGTGTTTTTTTTGCCGTAAACCTAATTCGGCTCACAAATTTTAAATTGAAGATCAGTCCTGTATGATTCGATTATTTAATTTTTTTGTCAAAAAGCTTAGTGTACTAAATAGGCGACTCCTAACATAATGTTATTTAAAGATGAAATGATTGCTAAATCGTGAATAACTGGATGGAGTTATTTTTCAAAATCTATATTTTAAAAAATATGATTAAGAAGATATTTGATTTACTTAGGTGAGAGACCGAGCAGTGCATCTGCTGGTTGAAGTGTACAAACACGTGGGAGACAGACTGCGGATGGATCTGGAGAAGAAGAATCTGCTGCCAGATGCCTCCAAGCGAAAGGTCATCTTCCAGAAGTTCGAGGAGGCCAAACAGAATGACCTCATGAAGGTCGCAGCCAGTCCCACCACTCCTCATGATCCAGCTGCTGAATTGAACGGCGAGGTGAGAATTGAAATTGTGATCGAATTAATGTTTCAAGTTGAAAAAAAATATTTGTTTTGTCATGATAAACCCCATGCTTTCCTGTAGAGCAAATGAAATTCGATGACAATGATCATTCGAAATTTTAAATCTAGGTTCAAATTGACGTTTTTTCTCAAGTAACAATTTCGAAATAAATGGCAGCAATTTCAAAGTTAATTGGGGGGTTGTAAGTTTTGGGTCTCTTTGCTTCATAAATCATTAACTTGAGAAAAGGATGTGCAAATTTCAATTCATAATGGTTCAGAGCACAAGCTTGTTTAAATCAATTAACTGCTGAACGAATCCTTGTGACTACGTACTTGGACTAATAAATAGCTTTTAGTTAGTCTTTTTCAGTTGACTGAGTGACTTTTTCTTAACTTTTATGCCGACTTGTCTTTGTGTCGAGTTGACTATTTCTGTTCTGGCTGATATTAACACTGTGTTTCACCCGCTCTCAGGATGGTTTCTCTGTCATCTCCTTTCCGAGATCCCCAAGCACCCCCCGCAATGCGGCCACAATCGCCGGCCTCACCCGTCCCTCTCGTAATTTATCCCCAGGTGGCTCCGAAAGCCTCCCAGGGTCGATAGCGCTCTCTAAGTCACCGTCGGCTGAGTCACCGCCGATTCCGGGGACTCTGGTCTTGGGGTCGCCCTCTCCGAGTTCAGACCAGGGTAGAGTCACTAGCAAGCCCCCTCCTTCTAGGGTAATTATGCCGCGGCTGTGTGTTGTTGAATGCCTCTTCTAACCGCCGAATGCATCGCACAGTATCTTTTAGGTTTTTTGTGGTAGCTTAAATATGCTTTTTAATTGTAAAAATGTTTACGAAAATCTAGCTTGGATGTTTTAGATGAAGCTAATGATATCGCATGCATGCGAAGCAGTACTGAGCATATGAAAAGCATATTTTGACGTATTTACCGTCGCAATTTTGAGTTCATTTTTGACTCATCTCACATAAATTAGTGCGCAGCCGAGTTGCCAAATTTTAGTATCTATGTGCTGCTCGAATTCTTTTTCTTTTTGGCAACTAAATAGCATGTTTTATATCCACTTTTTTGATAGCTTGTGGTTGTTAGACAGTTAGGTGCTATGGCATAAATTAGTGAGCAGCTCAATTTCAGTATCTCTGTATTAATCCAATTCTAATTGGCAAGTAAATAGCATGTGTTTTATCCGCTTTTTTGGTGGCTGTTTATTAGACAGGTGCCATGGCGCAGATTTCATAAAACTCAACTTTGGAGGTCGGGACTCGAATCCCGCTGGAAACGTTTTTTTTTTCTGAAAGCTTTTTTTCTTGTTTTCAAATGTCAATGAACGAAGTGTATTAAGTAAACGAAGGGTTTTGCAATCGGGTACTAGACCTTTTGCCCTTAAGTAACTTTGTTGTTCACAGGACCTATATCGGGTTTACTTTTTCCTGATGGTTTTTCGGCTTTAGGTTCTCAATTAAGCTCTCGATTTAATTTCTGAATTGCGAATACCACCTTGATTTCAGTGCATATGTGGTTTTCGTGGATAAGAAATGGGCAGTACTTGACTTTCAGCTGATTGGCTGTCGGCTTATTTACCTAATATTTTGTTTCCTACAATTTTGCGATTTTATTTATGAGATCGATAAAACTTTGGTCACAAAATTAATTTTTGGAATGCTTAATTTCAACCCCTCATGGAACTCTTTGAAAAATTTTGATTAATTTTAACTAAAAAAACTTGATTTTTATTTTTTTGTTTTTCTGGTTCTTTCTTCAACGGTATCAACATTTGAAGTCCTCTCTGATATTTTTTGAGTCTCATGCTGTTTTAATCCTATACTCATTGTGTCGCAAGTGGTGCGAAGCTCAGCTTCGCCGTGTGGTTAATCTACGAATTTAAAACGATTTTTGTCAGATTTCTGAATTAATTTCCTCATTTTTTCTCAGATGATTCCTTCGCGTGTGTTGAAATGTTCAAATGAGCGTTTATCATTCATAGGTCTGTTTCAGAATGGATGGATTGTGCCTCCTGCTCTTGAAAACTAAACGATTTTTGAAAAATAGAGTTTTTATACTGTGAACTTGCATGTTTTTGTATCGCAAGTGGTGCGAAGATCCGCTTTGCTTAATTTTTTCTGTCAATTTTTTTTTTGTTTGCTAAACTTTCTCAATTCTAATTGTTTTGGCTCCGATTTGAATTAGGAACAATTCTGTTGCAAATGTTTTTTATTCAAGTAAAAGTTGACCGGAAAAAAATAAGTTTGTGAAATCGAATTATTAAGTCGAAACATGTGCGTTTGTGAGATGGCCATAATTCACGTTGTTTATCCATGGCGTCCTGTTGCACCAATAAATGAGGTTTCAGCTAGATTCACAAAGTTAATAAAATTGTATTTATAGCTTTCCATTCAGTGTGCAATCGATCGGAAAATTTAATAATATTATTTCGCGTCCTTATTGACAAATTTTAGTCTCTGTACGGTGTGTTTGACTTCAAAGTAATTAGTTAACTAAACTACAAACTTATCGGGTCAATCATTTGAAACTGGTGCTCTTTGTCAGTTAAGGTGAGTTATGTTAAATACGCATGAAGTTAAGAAAGAACAACAGAACAAGTGATTAAGCATTGTTTTATTACCAAAATTACCATACATATAACATTCTAAGGTATTCCTATCCTTAAACCATTGGACTTTATGCACATCACATAGCTATATAATTATGGTTATTGTAATTTGAAATATTTCACTTTCTGAATTAGACAGAAAAAACGCTTGTACCCTATTTGTGAGTGAAATTATTGTACGAAGTCTAATTTATTCCTACAGCAAAATTTTGTTATTTACCAAGGCGAGGCGCAGTTTATTATTACTAGGTAGCCTTTTAAGATCAAATAGTAAAATTTTGGAAACTCAAGCGATATTCATCTCCAACTTTTTTACGTATTGCTTCGATGGTTGGATATCAGATTGAATTATTTACTAAGGCGCCGCTGGCTTACGCCTTGCTCAATAGCATCGGGTCTTTGGCTCAAATTCAGGTGTATGCCAATTTTTTTGGAGTTTTTCTTTTTGACATCCTTCCCGTTTTTTTTTTCAATTGCCTTTTGTATGCTTTTTATGCGGGGCGCAGTTTAGCCTTTCAGTCTGTTTTTTTTTGCTAGGGCCGCACTTTTGGGTTAACATATTAGTAGGTTTTTAGATATCTGTACATTTTTTGAAGAGATAGTCAGAAGAATAAACCACGTGTCTCAATACAAAGAGTAGTAGTATTTTTTTTTGGGTTTTATGTGTTTTTACTCGTTTTATTTGTAGGTGAGCCAAATTTCCCTCGTTTTTTGGGACCTGAATCATTGTAATGAGATAGCTATTAAGTGGTGTTTATTGACGCATCGGCTTTAATATACTTTCTCGCCATTTGCCCGAGGAGTCTTATGTTGCAGCGAGGTTTACTGTGAAGCAGTCTTAGGTCGCTTTCCATGCTTCCCTCTTCCGCTCATAGAGGTAATTTATGAGGGATTTTAAGGTCCTGGTCTTGGTGGCTGAGGATTGCAACAAGGGAATCAGTGGCATCTTAGCTTATCCTGTTAAAGTACTAGCCTCCTCTCTTATGTTCAGGTCGCGCTTTTCCATTTTCTAATTCAGCTTGTTTTTTTTCTCTCCATGGAGTTTTTGACCATCACTCTTCCATTCTGGCCTGATTTCTGTTTTTGCAGTTTCCAGGCTAGCAGGCCTCTTCTGTTGCAGCCGGTTTGCAGTATCTTTGGCCGTCTTGTCTGCACTTTGGTTTCGTGTGATTCCGCAGCGGGTCGGCCCAAGGTAAGGCTGGTTTTCGGAGTTTCTCTCCGTACGCGCAATGTTTGGCTCCGAATTACGAGTCCTCTGATTTTTTTTTGTTCTGTAACATCTTTATTCTTCCAGTTGTTGACAAAATTGCTGCATCTGATTTGCTCCAGTAGCCAAATCATCAGTCCAGACCTCGTTCCTGTTTCTCATTTTAAAAATTAGTTCTTTTTCTTGCACTTCTTTTAATCCTTTTTTTAAAATATTTTTTAAAATCGTCTTCGATTCTAGGCAGTGGACAAAATTAAACGCATATTTACTTTTTTATTTTCTAAAATTCATAATTTTTAGAACAAGTTTGGACAATATTTTGTTGGAATGTTACATCAACCGATTGCAAATGATCTGAACTATCCTCTCCGAAAGTCTCAGTTTTTAATTTGAAGCACTTACCAGTTTTTTCCTGGTCTGAACATGCCAGTTTTCATTATTTATTATAGGTTTTTTTAGTAGAGTGAAAACTGTGTTGAATAAGCGGAGTAGAAAAAGTTGATCATGCGATGTGAAGTATTTTAAACAAGATTTTTGCATTGTTCAGTGACAACTTTCCTATTTTTCACTTTTTCGGAAAAACTTATTACAAATAGTGAAAACTGGCATTTTCAGAACCGGAATAAGCTGATTGGGGCTTCAAATCAAAAGTTGAGACTTTTAGGGAGGGTAGTTCATATCATTTGCAGTCGGTTGATGCAAAAATTTGGTAAAATTTTTACGAAATGTTGTCAAAAATTGTCCTTAAAATCAGTTTTTTTAGAACAAAAACTTGAATTTGCGTTTAAATTTGTCCACAAGTGTAGTGCAGCGGAAAATTGAATGCTTCGTGTTCATATTTTTAAGTTTAGAATATTTTCTTTGTTAAAAGGAAGGTAAACTCTACTATCGAACGGCAAAAGTGTAAATGAATGTCACGAAAAACGTGATCGATTTCTCATTTCGAACTTGAATTTATTTTTCAAGTTTTCCATCAGAATCTATATTCCTTTATTTATCCAGTTTTCTTTGAAATTCGAAAGTTGAGTTTTAAAAAAAAACAGTTCCGTATTTTTCCTGTTTACTGCTTTTCCCAACGTATGGTGGCTATGTTTGTTATGTAAAACTTATCACTCTAGTTTGCCAATTTGCCTATGCCAAGTTTTTGATTTGCTCTATCGCAGGTGTATATTTGACCATTAATAATTTGTAGACAGAAGCGACCATTAAAGTCAGTTTTGCTAAACTACCAACAGAAATCAGTGGGTTAAGCCTTTGAGAACGGATTACTCAAGAACAACTAAACAGTAATCTGTCTGCACCACTTCGTTTGCTGATTTTAAGCATAATTGACAGACTTATAACTTGTATTCCAGACCTACAAAAAATTGTCTAGAGATTAGAAAAAGTTGACTATGAAAGTTGTTTTTATTATGAAAGAAATGCATAAAGTTTGCTGAGAGCGAAAGAAGTCACAGCAAGCTCCCGATTCCGAAACGATGGATCGAAATGGTATCGCCGCATACAAGTCACTCCTCGCGTTTCAAAACTCCTCCTAAACTGAGACTGTTCAAAGACCATTCGCCGGCGCCGGATGGATTTAAAAAGAAAAAGAAAAGGAGTATTAGCGGAAGTTTGGTCTCAACTCCGAGGTCCACCCAAGGAAGTCCGACTCCGAGGGTATCGGAAGTGAAGGATCTTGTCCAAGGCAGATTTACTTATACGCAGCTGTCAGCGGCTAAATTGGTGTTGATATTTTCTTCCGATGAGTAAAAAGTCTTTCCGTCTGTCAATACTATATCTACTTCTGTTATACTTTATCTTTTCTCTTATCTGGCTCTGAATCTTTTATTTTTATCTCAATTCAGCGTAATCGTTGAAATTTTTGATGTGACTCGTGTTTTGGAAGCAAGTTTGTTGTTTTAACTTAAGTTCAAGTTTGTCGAAGAGCTCAGTTTTTCGTAATTCGTTTCTGTGTGAGCATTTTTTCAAAGCACGAATCTAATTGTACCAGTTTTTGTAGCTGTATATTAAACTACGCATGTGAAATAGTGGTTTCCGTTTTTGCTGATCTTTTTGAGAAGTACATTTGTTTACCTGAGCACAATTTTGATCCTCAAAAACAGATTGACGAAATATTGGAAATTATGGACGTTCTTTTCTGTTTAGTCATCAGCATTAGCTCGAGTGAACGGGGCTGTTAAAAGTGCTACTTCATCTAAGCCTGCAGGAGGGGGCGCAGCGAGCAGGTCAAACTCAGTGTCATCTGCCAAAAATCTGGCCACTCGCAAACAGTCCGCCGGAGCCATGCCAGCTAGCTCGAGCAATACTGGCGCGGTCACCGCAAACGACTTTCAAAAGATGTTCGATGACATCAAACCAGCAAGTGTAAGTCGTGTTTCGTTTTCATTGACCTCTCAACTTCAGTCATAGAAAAAGATTATACGATCTTTAAGTTGGGACACATCGAAATATAGCTTAAATTATGTTACCGTACTAGATTACTGGTAAAAAAAAATTCTCTCAACCTGACAAGTTGACGATTCTTCCTATGTTAACTGAGGAAGCAAATTTATGTTAATTCACCGTTCCTGTCCTGCAGTTTTTGGGCTCATGCGCGAACATTCTCAACCAATCAACGCGCTTTAAACTGTCCATCCAAAGCTGACTTATTGGTTTTTTGCTTATTGAATACTGAGCTCTGATTGGCTGAAAAAACATTTCTTTCGAATTTTTGAATACTAAGCTCTGATTGGCTGAACAAACATTTCTTTCGATTTTTTTTATTACTGAGCTCTGATTGACTGACAAAACATTTTTTCGAATTTGGCTGATTAAATTTTGGCGCTTGAGGGATTCAGCCGGAATGTATTGTATGTTTTGTTCAGGTCTACTCTGCCCGGTCCCTGGACGAAGATTTGACGAAGGTGAAGGAAGTTCTGGAGAACATGGACAACGACTGGAGTGTGAGAGTGAAGGAGCTAAAGAGACTGTGTGCCATCATGAAAGCCAATGTATTCGCTACTTACCCCAGTGAAGTGAACAACCACCTGAAGGAGATCACACGAGTGCTGAGCATGTCAGTCAAAGACCTCAGGAGTCAGGTGAGGTCCCAGAGGTGGAAACGAGAAGAGAGATTTTGAAAACAAATAGTCTATTTTAGCGCCGAAGCGGTGGTCGGCCGAAAATGGATTTTAGTGAAATAGTAAAAAAGGGGCTTTGGGTGGTTAGGGGTTCGAGGTCATGAGAAAAAAGACGCCTGCTCACCCAACTGCCTATAGATCCGCCCCCATTATTGACCATGCTTTGTATGTAAATGTTTCTAGTTTCGTTTGTAAATAAACCAATTTAAGGGTGGACTAAGATTTCCAGTTCGATTGTTTCTTTTTTAGGTTGCGCGTGAGGCGTGCATATCAGTGGCATTCATGTGTCTACTCATGGGTGTGGCTGCCACTCCCCTGGCAGAGGGATGTCTCGCCAGTCTCTTCTCAATTGTGCCCAACTCGGCCAAGATCATCGCGAGTAGTGGCTGCACTGCCCTCATGTACATCACCCAACATGTACACTCCAACAAACTCATCCCCATCCTCATCTCCTTCCAGGCCCAGAAGTCCATACCCTGCAGACTGTGAGTAGAACAAGGCACCGGCATCTACTCATCCATGCCACCTTCCCAGTTTTTGCGATATCGAGCTCTACTTGACATATTGCTAAGTATCAATTAGTTTCAGTTTCAAAGAAACGTTATTTTAAAAACGTGACTTTTCCAAAAGTTGACGCTGGTGCCATTCACATTTCAACCCAACTAAATATACTTGCATAAATTTTTGAAGTGCATGGTTATAATTCAAATTAACTTCGAAACGATGGGGGGTTCTTAAATGAGTAAAAAGAGGTGGTGGGTTATTAGTTAGAGCCGAAAACGGAACGTGGCAAACTTACATTTCTAATTGAACATACTTAGCAGATTTTTTAACAATATATTCAGGGCAAAGAGGCATGACATGTTTACTCTGGTGAAATCATGGTTTAGTAGACGTAATACAGTCAGTTTCGAGCTACCATAACATGGAAATGACCCTCAGTTGAATTTTATCATTTTTTTTTCATAGCCAGCTCAGCCGAATGTTGGAGGATATCCTTCGCAACTGGGATGCATCGGTGCTCGACAAGTACTTCACGAATGTCGAAGACTGCCTCGTTAAACTGCTCTCGGACGCTGACGAGAAGACACGAGTGTTGGCCCGAAAGGGATTCTTCGCGCTCAAGGACAGATTTCCCAGCAGGGCTGACATCCTCATGGCGACCCTGGATCCAAGAGTGCAGAGAAAACTGTCTGGCGAAGCAAGTTACGGGTCCAGTGTAAACTCTCTGGCTGCTGCCAAGTCTCAGAGTTCTTTGGGGTCGCAAGAAAGCTTGGGAGGGTGAGTTTTTATGAAAAAGTGGAGCGACTTTGAGCGTTGCCCACTTTCTGAGGGCAAGTAAAAGTAATACTTGTCGTTTTTGATATTATGCCGAGTTCGCTTCAAATGATGTTAAGATTTGATGAACGTAGTTCAGACTCTTACATAGGTCGAGATGATTTTCAGGGAAAGTCAAAAGCTCTTTTTCATGGAAAGTTAAAAAATTCGTTTAGGCTCAAATTTACTTTTTAGCAGTTTGACTTTTGATTTCATATCAAGTTCAGTTCATTTCTTTTGCTTACACTTGCGAGCATAGTGTAATTGTACGACTGTTATTTGTTCCCGCCCAAGTCGCAATTATTGGTGCCACTTTTGGGGGCACCTTTACGACTTTTTGATAGCATGTGCTTCGACATTCGATTAGTAATTTTTTTAACACATTTGATGCAGTTTTGATTCATCAAATGAACCGAAAAAAGCTATTTGTCACAACAGTACAATAAGCAAAACTCATTTTCAGAAATTTTCCAGCTCAATATATCTTGCAATAATTTTGAAATGCATTTTAGACTCGAGTTAGTGTGGATGCCCAGTTTCTTATATTCCACATCATTACAAGTTAAATTGTGCCTATTTGTGTCTTTGGTGCCATTTTTGTTTGTGGTTAGTGTTAGCAAATTGTCAAGGGCTCGTGACGCAGATGCGAGGACAGGAGACTCAAAATCTTGGTCGTAGGGTCGATTCCGCCACAGCAAAAGTTTTATTTTGCGCGGCCTATTTTTTTACCTTTTCTCTTATTTAACTTTATAGAGCAACTTTTTTTGTCGTTTTCTTGCTAGTTGTTGCTGGTTTCAAAATCGATATTTTTTTCACTTTTTCCGGAGGAATATTTAATTTAACTATTGATCCAGTTTTTTCAGATTAATGAACATAGTGAGGACTCTTATATAGGTCTTGCGTTTGTTTTTTTTTTCAGGAAAAAGTCTTAAAATTTGTTCACGGTCAATTTTGATTTTTCGAGGTTTGACTTGTTATTTTCTTTAAGTTCAGTGCATTTCCATTATGGAAAGGAGGGCAAAATCCACTATCGAACAGCAAAAATGTAAAGGTCACGGAAAATTTGATCGACTTCTAATTTCGAAAATGAAAATTAATTATTAGATATCCCAGTGAAATTAAAGTTTGGACGATTGAACCAGGTTCCTCAAATTGGGTTAATTTTAACAAATTTTAACTATTAAAGTGTCCATCATAAATTGTTCTTCTAATTCAAAGAGCTTTAAGGCCATCTATCTATTTCTTCGAAATTCAAAATTAAAGATTTTTGAAAAAAGTCAGTTTTTGTTTCAGTTTCATTGCGTTCATTAATCTTTTCCAACCGTCAGTTGGCTATGTTTAAATTGGGTTATTTCATCAAAAAAGTGTCAATCATAAACTGTTCTTGACATTCGAAGTGCTGTAAGACTATATGTTTTTTCTTTCAAATTTGAAAGCTATAGTTTTTCAAAAAACAAGTCAAGATTTTTTCTGTTTAATTGCGTTCATTGACTCTTTTCCAGTTGTCTGTTGGCTATGTTTTACTGAAAAGAAGTTAATATTTGTCAGTGCTGGAGAATGAAATGAAGTTTCATTCAATTTCTTGTTTATGTCTTTTCAGTCATTTTTAGTTTCTATAAATAGATTTAAAATGAAAGGCAAATGATAGTTTTTTGAAAGCTATAGTTTTTGAAGCTTTAAAGAAATCAGTTGGTTGGTTTTCTCGTTCATAAAATTTGTTGGCTATATATTGGCTGTTAATTATCTGTTGGCTATTTCTTGACGTTTAATGGATATTTTTGTGTTTCAGGAGAAGCGTAAGCAGTCTGTCTACAAGAATGGGTGTAAAAAACACTACCAATGGTATGTTAAGTGCTGAATGTGTAAGTTTGCTGTATTTTTTTTTGAAAAGGGATATGTCGCATGTATCATTTAATTTTAAAAAGACCTTCATCGGAAACTTCGGAAAGATTTTTGCACTTTTCTCAAGTTTGCCTCATGATGATTTGCAGCTTTATTTCATGTCACTGGCACGAGGTGTTTAGTTTCATAGCTTTAAGTCTTCTTTCTTTCTTTGATTTAAAAAGATTGTTTGATTTAATTTGACTTGTGAGTAGTATGAATGCAGAATTTTCTTCTATTTTGTGTTTCCTTACCCGTTTGTTTGAGCAGGCGCTTTTAAAAAGAGTCATAGCACGCAGAATTTAGCCTCTAAGGGGGCTGCCCTTAGCCTGTCCCCACCCCAGCCTCAAACGCAAACCACTCTCACTCATAAAAGCGGTCTTCCCACTTCGGGAAAAGCCTACTCGACCATTCGGTTAAATTCGTCTTCTCCTGGAAAAGATGCTGCTAATTTTACCGGTGCACCAATTACACCGATTTCGACCACGCCTAACGAGAAATACAGAAGAAAGAGCTCGCCTAGAATTGGGGTATCGTCTTTAAGTTGCAATGTCAGAAGTGTTCACAGCTCAAGCGTACATAATTTAACGCCTGAAGGTTCTGGAAGAGTTTTGTCAATTAAAAGCGAAGGTTCAACGAGCACTGGTCGAAATAGAAAGAGTACTGCGTCACTTGGCAATGAACTTGAGTTGGAAAACGAAGGAGATGCCAACTCCTCGACGTTCCTGGATACCTCGTCTTCAGAGAGTGGTTTTGCGGAGGATTCGGGGGGGCTCATGAGTGTGAATGACGAGAGAGGTAAAGGTATAAAAGCAGCTGAAAGTGTAAAATCGCAATGTGCTCATGCGAAATTGTCATGGTCGATTGTTCTCAGTCCGTTTGCTATTAATCTGTTTTTAACTTATTGGTTAACTTGCTTCATGTTAGTTCGTTTAGATTCAAGTATCAAGTTGGCATAAAAAATTGGGGCAAGGTCAAAAATTAGAGAAATTCCAGGAAGTGGAAGCCGGTTTTTAACGGCTTGAAAAATCGTTGATTTGCTTCATGTTAACAGCTGAAATTATGAAGCTGAAAAGCCTCTCTCTAGACTTCGTTTTATGGTTAGGCAAAATATTAGCCAGGTTACCATGAATTTTAACCTGAATTTTTTTTAGTGTTCCTGAGTTTTTTGTTGGCCCTGAAACTGAATCTAGTTATCCAAGCTGTCTATTTTCCTGTGAACTTTAAGTTCATTGTAGTAAAATTTCGCGGGATAAAAAAGTAATTATTTGTGCAAATTTGATGCTTGCTTTTTTAATTTAAGCGTTACCAATTGATTTTGCTTCAAAGTGCGATCATTAATTGTGAATAACTTCTAACTTGATGCTAATATTCTGCACAATTTATAATCTGACAGTTGTTAACATTAATTGACCTGAAACTAAATCGAACATTTGTAATCATATCTACCATTTAAAACCCATAATGATTGATATTTATATTTTTAAAGCTTAACAAGTTAAACTTACATAGTTATTGAGCTGTCGCTTATGATGGTTTGTGAAAGTCTGTTTTGTTTTTGTTTCAGTCAAAAGAACTCTTGGTCCAGGAGACAGAACTGCAAGAACGAATCGGATGGCACAATCGCAACGTAAGGTCACCCTTATAAGATACTCAATAAAAATATCGATTAAAAAAGTTTTTTTTCCGAACAAAAATGATATTTATTTAAGTAATTTTCGAACAAAAATGATATTTACTCTTGCGACTAGCAAGCGTTATCAAATCTGAATGTAGACTTTTTTCGGGCTAACAACTAGTTGAACAATATCTGTGGAATGACTTATGATGCTGCTATGCAGTTGACATGCTCAATTTCATGAAAATTCAAATTTAACTACTGGGTGGGTACTAGTTACTACAGTGTAGTTTTAGGCGATTTTTTTTGCATAATCAGTTTTTTTTCAGCTGAACTGGTGTCTGTTTAAAGATTGTCGGCCTTGTTTTGGCTTCTTAAGTTCTGTTCAGTTGCTAGTTTGAATTTCAAATGTCTTGCTTAGCCTGTTTGCCAAGAATTTTTGCTTGATAAAAACAGGTATTATGAAAGTGTATGGGATTGTGTTTTTAGTTTTTTTAGACTTTTTTTGAAAATTTTAATACTTTTTGCAAGAAATTTAGTTCCTTTTCAAAAGTTCTTCCACCGATTTTCAAAAAGGGGTATCCATAGAAAGACTGCCTACTTGTTTGTGTGCCTGCATCTTCCCTAAGCCTTCTTTTCTTTACCCATTTGTCGACAGCCTTCGAAAAAGTCTGTGGGGGAATATTTGACCAATATTTTTTTTCGTTTTCTCAAAAATTAGCCTACTAAATTTGAGATTTTGGTTGCACTGAATAGAATGGATTTGAAACGCTCCCCTCCATAAGCGTCTCTCAGAATAGTCAAACTTTTGAACTTTTTGAACGTTTCTTGAATCTTTTTTGATTTTCCTCGAAAACTATCCTCCCAAACCTGAGGTTGTGGGCTCAATAGAGAGAACGGGTACATGAAATCTCCCCTGCATTAGCGGCCATTCACAATTTTTTTTTTACAAAAATTATCGTCCTCGTTTTTTTCTAACTTTTATGAATTTTACCAAAAAATACACTCCCATATCTGATATTTTGGGTTCAATTCACAGAACGGGTTGTGGGAAGCTCTTTTGAATACGCGACTACGCCCAATTTTTTTTACTTAAAATTGTGGCCCTCGGATTTTGAGAATTTACAAAATTTTGATTATTAAGCGTTTTTAAAAATTTTCGAGTTTTTGGATTCCATTGAATGTACATGTTCGTTGAATCTATTCTACATAGGCGTTTGAATCTATTCTGCTACGCCCAATTCTTTTAAATACAAAGCTATAATTCTCGGAAATGTCCATTTTTTTATTTGTTTTTTTTAAACATTTTGAATTTTCTGAAAAACTCTTCTATCAAGTCTAAGAGTTGAAGATTTCAGTCTAAAGAAGCGGTTGCGCGAAGTTTTATTGCAGAAGCGGCTTCTACTTTGTTTTGTTTGTTAAAGAAAGGTTATTTTTTTGGAAAAGTTCCAAAATCTCAAATAATTTTCTCTTCTTTCTTATTTTTTTAATACAGAAGCTTTTGGACAGTGTCCAATTTTTGAAATTACGCATTTCGTCCCGCATCATTATAAAATTTTGAAGAAGTGTCAAAAATGTTATCTCTAGGTGTCTTTCCACCGTATATACGAAAATTTTGGGCTACCTAGTTTTTTCAACTTTTCTTTTCATTATTTTGTATGATTGTGTTGTATCGCAAGTGGTGCGAAGCTCCGCTTCGTCTCTGTATAAAAAAAGTATTTATTGAACAGAAATTATTTTTAATTAAATATATTTTGAACAAAATTGATATTTAAAACAATTATTGTTCAACCAAAAAGCATATTAAAAAAAGTATATTTCAAACAAAAATGATGTTTTTTGGCCCACAAAGATATGGGTTATGATAGTTCATTGCTGTTAGAATTTATTCTCGATTTTTGGATTCTCGATTTTTGGTTTCGTTTTGGGTAACTATCAATGAATCAAACAAAAGACTAATATATGCTTGTCAGCTGTGCTGGATTGGCAACCAATAATAGCGTGTTGAACTAGTGAATATTTCGAACTCGAAGGTTCGATGTTGGCTTAAATTGAAAAATTTGTTTGATTTAACTTAAAACTGGCAACTATTATCTCTAGGGGCTAGGTCTGAGTCGCCGTGTAAGTGAAATCTCTTAAATCAATGCTCATTTTAAAATCTCTGAGTATCTGTGATAAATGTCAAAAATTGGACTGATAACTTATAGCTTCCCTAGCCTCAAGAAGGCTTTCTTGCCAATTAGCCTATGGAATTTCCCGGAAGGTACCGAAAAGTGAGTATGAATAGTTAAAAGCACTTTCAATTGCGATTTGTGTTTCATTATTTTTTTGCGTTTTTTATTTTAACGGAGCAATATATCACCTTAAACATGCCATGACACAATTTCATGACGTAATATAAGCGAATACATGCATCCATTAGCAGCCTTCAAGGGTTGGGGCAACCATAATCTTTGGCTGATATGATCTGGAGCTGATTTATTAATTTATTCAGATTAATTAAGGTCGTGTTGATTTTTGTTAGTTTTTTTGATTTTTGTTAGTTATTTTTGTTAGTTAGGTCGTGTTGATTTTTTCAGGCTCAAACTTAACTTTTTCGCGGTTTGACTTTTGATTTCTTTTTAAGTTCAGTTCATTTTTTTGTTAAAAAGAAGGCAAACTGCACTCTAGAACAGAAAAAGTGTAAAGGTCATGAAAAACGTGATCTACTTCTAGTTTCGAAAAGGGGAATTTAGTTTTCAGATTTCCCAGCGGAATAAAAGTTTTACCTATTCATCCAATTTTCTCAATTTGGATTAATGTAATCAAAAAAGTATCAAATATAAATTGTGCTAGAAAATCGAAGATCTGTAAGGCCGCCATTTTTTTTTCGCTTTCAAAACTTTAGATTTTAATGGGATTAATTTTATCAAGAGAGTCAATCATAAAGTATTCTAGAAGTTCAAAGGGCTTTAATGCTTTTTTTCAAAGGTTGATATTTTTCAAAACAAAAAGTCCGTTTTTTTACTGCTTAGTTGCATTCATTGACTCTTTTCCAACTGTCTGTTGGCTAAGTTGATTAATTTTTTGGTTGAGTCTACACAAGTCTAATGGTTCAATTGCAATCGTGGATAAAACAGAATCGGTTTGTTGCATCGATAACAAAAATGTATCTTCAAGGAAAATTCTCATCGGCTAGCGAAAACGTAGACGGAGTTCTATACATGCTCTCTCAGCTAACGTCGCCCCAAATTGGGCTCTCTGAAACAGACTTCGAGCACCTCTTGTTGCAGAATCAAATAAACGTGACTGAGACTGCAACCTCAGTTGAATCTGCAGATTTTGTAGACAGTGCTCATAAAGCCGCTCTTGGACGCATTCCACATTCAAAGTCGGACGGATCTATTTCTGCCAAGTTGAAATTGAGTTCATTGAAGCCATTATCGACTTACAAACGGATTCCGTCACGCGGTATTTTCAATGTGACCAGATATTTAGAATCCAAGATATTACTTGTGTTCCCTAAATATCCCCCCTCTGATCAAACAAGATCATACACACGTGATCCTTTAGTATAAAAGTGTTTTGTATTTAATCCTAATAGAAACATCGTTTTGCCATCGAAATAATTTGAAACTGGTGCGTAATTTACCCTAAATTTTAAGCAGTCTGCGTTCACTCCTACCTAATGAAGGATGTGCGATTCGGAGAATTTTAAAAGCAGTTCATTTCCAGTTCATTGCAGGTTTTTTAGCATTCAAATCTCTGAAATCGATGTATTGCAGTGGTTTATTCGAAACATCGCACATCCGTAACTCTTACTCACATAGCTAAATTGTTTAGTGATGTCAGATGATCCAAGGATACCATTTTAATTATTCTTTTTACCTATTTTCCGCTGCATCAGTCATCGATTTTGTGGGAATTACTACGTTGATATCTGGCGTAAAATCTGTTTTAGCGGCCAGTAGATCAGGTAGTCGAGGCACGTCCCCCCAGACCGCCAGATTGAACATTCTCACCAGTCCGACAGTGGTGGGATCAGGTCATCAACAGCCTCTTACGGACACTACTAACTCAATGTACACCCCCTTGTCTCAGAGGTCGTCACAGCAGTCCAGAATCGGGGGTCCCAGTCCAACATCCGGGGTGGGTGCATCCCAAAACAGACGCACTGGCATCCCGAGAAGTCTGAATGCTTCCAGAGAGCACAGTCCCTCTAGTGGATACGGAACTAGATCGGTCACCGGAAACAGATCATGTAAATTGAAATACTTAAACATTGCAATAATCAATATTGAACATTGCAATAACATCCTTTGATGTTAATAAGCACGATAATCGGTCAAGATCGTTTTATGTAAACAAGCTTTTTTCATGATACCAAGAAAATGAAATTATGAATAGTAAGGCAATTTTTTAAACGTGTTTACTAAATAAAGATCAGTTGTTTAACCGACTGTCTGTCTCTGTTGAAGCTTTGGGGTCATCAGCCAACAGTCACCACGCGCAACGCTCCCTCCACATGACCCCTCACAGCGCCAGTAGGTTCCAGAAGATCCAACACGAGCGCCAGAACCCCCAAGGCGCCAATTCGATGCGAATGCTCTCAGACACACCTGAGGCGCGCAAAGCAATCGAACATGCACTTCTGACTAATAACAGTCCAGGGTCCCACAGGGGAGGGGGAGGCAGGAGTCCCTACTCAGTGAGTGGGGGACGAGTGAGACATGAGAGTTTTGGAAATGCGTTGAGTGACGATGACAGTGACAGATGTAGTCTGCAGTCATACGACTCCAGATTCGAAGGAAGCTTCGAGGTTCGTTCTTTCAAAGTTAATGCTGACAATGGTTTTTCAAGCCAACCACGTTAAGAGCGACTGAATTGGGTAATATAGAGTTAAAAGGGTAAAACACTGTAACACATATGAATTGGTTTCGTTAAATGTCGGTCAATTAGAAGTACTCTCATAGTAAAAAATATATTCTGTGCAGTTTTTCTCGTAACTTTCAGGAATGTGAGTTGAAAGAACTTCATACCACTCGCTAGGGGCTTTCTTTCAGACAGGGGTGAATTTAGGGGGGGGGGGGGGGGCGTGGGGGCGGATGCTCCTTCGTCAGGGATTCGATCCCCTCCCGACCCAAAGGGTCCCCCTTTGTACTATTTTCAGAAATCCATATTTGGCGATGGACCCTAAAAATTTTCTAAAGACGTTGTTTGGCGCCAATATATACTAATTTTGAGGGTGGGAGCGCGCGCCGAAAAAAAGCGATTTTTTTGGTCAAAGTTTTCCAAAAAGTGCTTAAAAATGCCTTTTAAGGCCGGTTTTTCAAAACTTTGCCTGCGGCGCACAAAATTTGGCCGAAACGGTCTTTTTACTGCTTTAGGAGAGCTCGGAAAATCAAATTAGTCCACCTAAAAAAAGGTCGACAAAATAAATTTTCAAAATGTTTTTGAAAATCCGCCCCCCCCCCGCCTCAAGAAAATCCTAGATCCGCCCCTGCTTTCAGGTACTTGAAGTAGCGCAAAAAATGCACCATAAGCCATAAGTTTTTCCCACTCCGTTAGTTGTCTCAACAATCATTAAAAAAAATCGGTATTTAATTTTTAGTGCTTTCCTTTTTTTCAAACTTAATTGTGCTTCTATTTTCAATGTAGAATATGGGCGAAGTGTTAGACAAATGTGCTGCCCAGAATTGGTCTGACAGGAAGGAGGGACTGCTGGCACTGCAACAGGCACTCCGCTCCAGACAGTGTCAGCTGAACAGAGCCGAGATCAAGAAGGCGTGTGATGTCTTCACCAGAATGTTCGGAGATCCACACGTTAAGGTACTGTCAGTTCAGATAATCTGCATTGAAAATATCAAACACTTTTTCTGACCATACTCTATCATGATCATTTCGGCGATGCTCAAAAAAGAAACAATGAATAATGATAAACTTGGTTTTTCGCGGTTTTGGTTTTTGAAATTCTTTTAACTTCAGTTCATTTCCTTTGTTAAAAGGAAGGGCAACTCCACTATCGAAAAGCAAAGGTCATGAAAGCGTGATCAGCACTTCCCTCCTCAGGGGTTCGATCTGTCTACCCAAAGGGTCCCCATATTTGGTACTATTAAAAGTCATCCATTTTTGGGTGACCGACCCTAAACTTTAAGTTTCTTAAAGGCTTCTTCGGCGTCAATATATAATCATTTGAAGGGGAGGGGTAGCGCCCACCGAAAAACCAAAATTTTTGGATCAAAATTTTCCAAAAAGTGCCTAAAAACGTGTTTTTTGGCCTGAAGTTTAAAAAAGTGCCTAGCATCAACAGTTTTTGAAAATCAAAGAGTTGTAACTTGATACATTTTTTTTCAAGAAGTTTCGGTTTCCTGGAGTTTTTTTCCAACCATCTGTCGGCTATGTTACTTGAATTGATATTAAATTGAATGGTAAAGCGTTCAATCTGAAAATCTCAGCTAACAACAATGTATACAACGGCTATTTTAATTAAGTCTGAAAAGGTAATTCTATGTCTATATGTCCTTTCATATATGTTTAATATTAAGCTGAATCGGTTTTCCGTAAGTATATTAATACGTGGCTCATCTGGAAAATCAAAAAAAAATAGACGAAGAATTAAAAAAGAAATGGTACAGTTTCTTTCAAATTGAAGTTGTTTTTCATGAGTATAGGCATTCTTATATTAGTTGGGCTCTTATCCATCTCAGGTGTATGGGTGGGTAATAGTTATTGGTTCATTGTTTGAGGGTGATGGTTTGTATGAAGGAAGTGTTGTTACACATTTATTGTTAAATAACCTAGACTTCAAGGGACGAAGTGTTTTACAAACGCCGAAACAATTATAACGTTGAAATTGCTATCCTTTTTTCTCTGTTTTAATCAGTTTGTGACCTCGTTTGTTTTAATCAATAAGATGTAAGGTGCGTCGTTTGATGCTCACCCTACGTATCACTTGCTTCGACTGCAAGAATGAGTCATTGGAGCCAGAAATTATCTTGAAATAAATCATATCACTGAATGGAACAGAAGAAACGAGCGCTTGTACAAGTAACACAATTTTCCGACCTCAGTTATAGTTATCGTAAAGTCGATGGCTTCGAGAAGTATTTTTTGAGCTATGTATGTCGTTTTGGGAAACGCAATGGCTGACAATATTTTGCTGAAGTATCTTCTATTCTTTAAAACATCATCTGACTATGTCAATGATGCGTTTTTGAGCGTGTAAAAATAAACGCATGAGATGCCTGAAAACAGGCTAAATAATGATACTAAAGGCGAGATATTAACAGTTTAGCAACTTTCAATGTCGGTTCGATTCGGTTACTTAATAGGTTTCAAAACACATGAAAAATTGTAATGATTGTGGAAAAAATCGCAATATTGGAAAATTACAAGTTTGTGACGGCGCCTCAAATTCAGGACTGAGAAATGTCGGTTATTACTTCTGCTTTGGTTCGGTTCGGTTTTTATTCAGATGGTTTGGTTATTCGGCTCGTTTGGTGAACCACCGATCTCTACTAATGGCGGTATCTCAAGGGATGGTCGTTGGGCTCGAAAGAGATTTACACGTATTCAAATCATTTTCAAACCGGATCTCACCTAAAAATGTGTAGTTTTTATTACATAATTTTGAAGATTCGCTTTAATTTAGGTGCTATCGCTGTTGCTGGAGGTTCTGGCAGACTTCGTGTTGACTTACTTCGAGGCACTGAACGATTGGCTGAGTGTGCTGCTTCCGAAGTTGCTGCAGAAAACAGGCGCTGAGAACCTGTTGAACTCTGGTCTTATGAAGGTCAACAGGTGTCTGGAGATTGTGAGGAGCAACTTCTCTCTTGACCTGCAGTTTCTCATTCTCATGAAGTACATTGCAGATCAAACACAAACCAAGTCACTCAAGGTACGATCAAAACCTATCAGTTAACAAATTAGGTAAAAGCAAATGAAAATATTAGCATGACGTATCGTAATTCAAGGAAACGTTGAGTAGCTTTGAAGTAGAAATACAAAAATTTGTTTTCTTGAATTGACAAAAGGTTGATTTTCTGAATCATGTTGATTTTCTGAATCAGGTTGATTTTCTTGTTTGTTTAACTTAAGCCAAGAATTAGTGTTGGAAGAAAGCTATTCGTTTTGTGATTTCAGGTCAAATTAGCCCTGCTGAAGTATTTGTTGTCGGTGATTGATGAACTGACCCCGCATGAGTTCGTCAATTCGGCGGACACAAGACAAGCCCTGCAACTGGTGCTTACGTGGTCAACTGACAAAAACAACGAAATAAGGAGGGTGCGTATCAGAATTAGTGCTAATGCTTTTGTTATTACACAAGCATAGCTTATGTGATAGTATGCACTTTTTTTTCAACCTAAGTCGCAAATATTGTTGCGATGCAATTGTTGCGACAAAATGCGTTCATTTTGAAAAAGTTCATTTTGATCCAGCTATTAAGTACAGCAAATGCTAAGGATATTAAAACAGACTATTGTATTACAAATAGCACTTTAGCTTCAAGGTACCATGATTCTGTAGCGCAGAGGTAGGGAAGGAGACCAGCAGCAAAAAAGGGGGTTCGAACGTGGGCAGGGTCGGATGTTTTTATTGAACTTTTTCGTATGCTAGTTAAAATACGTCCGCTCTATAAATTGAGGCATGTTAGTTGGTAAATTTATTTTCAAATTGACTGGTACTGCTAATGCGTCATAATTGGATTGCGCCACTTAGCAATTATGCAGACTCATAATTGGCGTGCGTTTTCGGTCATATTTTTGCTTGTGTATGCGAAGCTTTGCTCAAGTTAAATTAGCTCAAGTTTGGCGGATTTAGTGTGATCAGCTGGATAATAGACTTTATCCCGCTCAATTTAGATATTTTTGGCAACATTAAGCTACTTGTTACACTTCGCTCAGTCAGTAAGTGGTTTTCCACCCTCTTTTGGAATCGATGGTGTCCAAATGTGCCGTTGTAATTTGTTTTGCCTCTCGTTGCTAAAATATTCTTTATTTTCCAGAGACTCTCGTTGCTGCCTGAAATGGCCTGCATGTTGTTCGTAATCATCACTCGCTAAGTACTAGACTTTTCTCATAATAAATCTCTTTTTTTCATTTCAATTAAATTCGTTTTCAAATGGCAAATATGCAATCGCGGGTGCTATATAGGCAGTTCATGTTTGATTTTTTTTTCTCGAGTACGCTCAGCGTTTTTTTGATTTGTCGGTAATTTGTTGGCTGATTTTTGGCTCATTGGCTGTCGGATTTAATTTTGTTGCTTATCATCTAATACTTTTTTTCTAATTAGATCTTGTAGTTTTATTTAAGATTGACTAAACTATTAAAAGCAATGTTCGAGAAATCAAAAATAACCTCGCAAGACCCTCTTCGATAAAATAGTGAAAAATTTTTGTTTTTGCTTTTATCAGTTGACAATCCGGCTGCTTGGTTTGCGACAAATTGTACAGATTAGAAAGAAAGTTGAGGGCTCCGTTTAGTTTTCAGCGTTTTGTTAAGTTCTTATGAGCCATAAACTAAATAACTTTATTATAGTTTGAATGTAAATTGTTGAAAACTGATTGAAACTTGTGTTTTGTTTTCGGTTTATTATACTATAAAAATTTTGTATAATTCTTCGAAGTAGCTTTTTTTTTACCCAAGTTGCAAATAAAAGTGCTCATTTGGTGGCGTTTTTGGTATATTTCTAAGCATTGGCAATTTAACTGCATCTGTATCGGGGTAGTTTATTTCCAACCAATCGTGGCGCAGATGCGAGGACGTTAGACTCGTAATCTACAGATTGGACGGTAAGTTCCTTCGCGTTAAAATTGTATCATTTTGAGAGTCATGAACATAGTGAACACTCTTATATAGGTCTTGATGATTTTTTCAGGAAAGTGTTAAAATTTGCTCACGCTCAGTTTTGAGTTTTCGCGGCTTGACTTAAGAAAACGTGAATAATATCATTATTAATGTTTTTTTTAGTTAATTTTAGCTCCCGCCACATAAACGCGCACCCAAAACGCTTGAAAATGTAAGAATGAATCAACGAAAATTTCAGTTTTTTTTAAGTTTATTTTAGGTAATTTAAATTTTAAAAAGATTTTTGGCCATTTGCTCAGCAACCCGCTAAGCTTGTTTTTGCACTTGCGAGAGCAAGTGCCTTGTAATCGATAACGGGTTTTTTTTTCCATAAACAACTTGTAATTAAAATTGATGTTGCTCATTATCGATTCTTAACAACTTCCTGGCCCAATCTCACTCGACACGGAGGTAATGCGTTTGCCTTTGCACCCTATGGTGTTGGTTTCATAACCCGGCCGGACGTAGGTTTTTTAGTGTCTGAAAGAAATTTTTTTCCAGCAAAAATTAAATAATGACTGTAGTTTGTCGGCTTATGTTTAGTCAGTTTAGTTTCCCCACCACGATTTTTTTTGCGTTGTAAGCAGTTTTTATTGTAGTCTCAAGTGTCGTTGTTAACTCTTGTAGCTTTTTTTAATTTACCAGCCTGAACTGGTATGTTTTCTGTTAATTGTTTTTTTTTGCATAGAAATTTTATTCGGCCTGAATAATTTGGCTCATGTTTTGTCGGCTTAATGAATTTATTTTGCATCCTTTCAGGGATAAAAATGATTATTTCTGTTTTGAATAAATCAATTTGGTTGGTAATATAAAAGTTCAAGTTATTTTATCACTCAAATTTTTCTACAACAGTTTCAATTTGCATTTTTTTTAAATTTTGGAGCAATTGATATCAAACCTCGAGTTTTTGGACTAATGACATAGTGATTACTCTTATATAAGTCTTGCAGATTTTTTTTTCAGGAAAAACTCGTAAAATTTGTTCCCGTTCAGTTTTGATTTTTCGCGGTTTGACTTGTGATTTCTTTTTAAGTTCTGTGCATTTCCATTTTTTAAAGGAAGGCAAACTCCACTATCGAACAGCAAAGTGTAGAGGTCACGAAAAACGTGATCGACTTCTGATTTTGAAAATGAAATTAGTTATCAGATTTCCCAGCAAAATAAAAGTTTTACGTATTGATCCAGCTTTCTCAAATTGGGTTAATTTTAGCAAAAAAGTGTCCATCATAAATTGTGGTACAAAATCAAATAGTTTTAAGGCCATCTTTTTTTTCAAAATTTTTCAAAACAGTTGAAGACTCCTGAAAAGGCCGTTTTTTTTCAGTTTTATTGCGTTCATAACTCTTTTCCAACTGTTAGTTGGCTATGTTTGGCTTAGTAAACGCTCGGAAAACACAAAAAATTTGTTTATGGCTAGTGGTTGTTGTTTGCGTCTCTTTCTTCTGAGATTGAATTATTCGTATTTCCAAAAAAATGTTGATTTTTTCTAAAATTTTTTCGGCTTAGTTATTTCCATCTTACTGTCTAATTGATAGCTTGCATTGCTGCGTTTTCGTTGTATCGTAAGTGATGCGAACCTCCACTTTCGTTCTCTGTATATTGTTCCGCTCACCCTTTATAGGGGTGGGAAAGAAATTTCAATTAGGAAATGTTTTTTGCCCGATTTTGACTACCCTCACCGAAAGCTCTTATGGGGCTTCCTTTTTGAATTCTTGCATCTTCATTTTCTTCCTTGTGGTCGGAATTTTCTGTACTACTTGCTCAGCATTCGGCTATTCATGTTTATTACCCTGCGATGAGCAAGGGTTTTGCAAGCGGATACCGGACTTTTTTCCCCGTATACAACTTGTTCACAGAATCTTCACTTCTAGTGGATCCCTTTTAGTGGGTTTTTCATCTGACATGCTCAATTTCTTGAAAATTCAATCAAAAACACGATCTTTTAGCTATTATTCAGTTCAAATCCGTTTCAGGATGTAATTATCTATTCAAAAAATATCTCTCTATTTTTTTCGGGTCCCTGTTTTTGTAGTTCTGTCGGTTCAATTTCCGTTTTTTGAACGCTATTTTTTATCTGGTAAGGATGTTAATTGGCTTAATTTTTCAAGCATGGGTTTTTTTCTAATTTGAACAGTTTTTATATAACACATTTGTAAATTTACCATGTCTGATTTTGAGTTTTTTTATTTTTCCTTTTTTTCAAATATTCAAACAGTTTCAGTTTCTGCTATATAGATTAGACAACTTATTTTGAGTAATTTTGAGAGCAAAATATATCCGCTTGGGATTATGTGTTTCAGCTTGGATAGGTCGAAGAAACTTCTAAGTAAATAGGAATTTTTTATGACAACAGTTTTGTTTTCGTCGCAACAGGTGTCGACCCAAAGTTTTTCGCATTTGTTGCCGCTCGGTAAATTATTTCTATTTTTTAAGGGCTGTTTATGAACTTCATCAGATACAAATATTAAATTTTTGTAGCTGTAATTTTTCATTTTGTCAAGTAATTTTTCGAACAAAATTTTTCAGAGTTTTTTTTTTACTTGTCTTTTCTTTTTTTCATTTAATTTTTTGTAGCGCAATGAGTTTTTGCATCGCAATGAGTTTTTGAATGAGTTTTTTCCAAAGTTATTCGGTAAATGAGGTTCATGTCAGTTGTCAACAAAGCAGAGGAGCTGACCCCGACCCCCATTTAGAAGAACGACGAGCTGGCAACATTTTTGTATGTTTATGACTTATTTGAAGACTTAATGTTTATGCCTAAGGTAGCGTCGTGTATTTGATGACTGTTAATGAAATCGAACTTTCTGTACGTGTAAAATTAACATTTAGGAGCTCGTGCGGAATTCATAAGTTTCGATAATCATTTTTCTCTTATATGCGACACGTGATCTGTTGCCTGTAAGATAATCCTGTAAACAAGCCTTAACATTAAAATTATTATCTCAGGTTAGTTGATGCTTACTGGTTTTCTTCGAGTTTTTTCATTCCTAATATCAATGATTACTATTTACCTTCCGTTTTTTTGCTATTTTCTAAATCTGCAAAAATAACATCTCTTGTCAAATCTATTTTTGCTACTGCCGGAGAGTTTTTGGTTCTTTTACAGTCCCCCCTTTAATTTTTTCTAAAATTCAATAGATAAAAAACTATTAAAATGACTTTTCATTTAAAAAACTGCATCAAAACGTGTCTGCTGGTGAAAAAATTTTTTACAGCATTTCTTACATGCAAAATGCCGCGCGAACAGTTTTTGAACAGCTTTTTTTTATAATTTACCAGGGAGAAAACTGGAAAGGAGCCAATTTTTAAAGACTATTTTGAACTATTATTGTTTGATTGTTATTTTTCCGGGCTGGGAAAAGTTTACTCGAGAAAGAGGCAGGGCTAATCACGGGCTCGTCGTTTTTTGGATACAAGATTTGAATTTCAAAAACTATTTCAGCTGTGTCTTGTCATAATTTTATGAAATGGCGAACAAACTAACTATTGTGAATAGATTTGTTTTTCATGGATTTTTTCGAAACATCGCGCATTTAGCCATTATAACACGTAAAACAACTATTAAAACAGTTTTCCAATGTGGAAGGGGGTGTCTAAAATGAAACTACTATGAGCAGTTGGGCGTGACTTGAAGGTCTCAAATTGAAAAGAGTGTTATGTGATGTGATGTGTGGTTTGCAGAATGCAGTGGCTGTGGTGACCTCTCTCTTTGACCTGAACACATCCGAGTTCAATGCCCTGCAGAATGCACTACCCAAGAAGGAACTGCAGCACCTAGCCAACAACATCCTCCACCAATACGTCAACAACTTCGACAACAACAACCACAACTCCTCCTTCAGCGGAACAGCAGCTGGAGGCGCCAACTCTAGCTTCTCCTCCTCAACTAACTTGGGTCCAGCCATTCAGCAGAACACCCTCTCCCCTCACTTGCTGACCTACTCGCCCACGTCTGCTGGCAACTACTCGGCTGACTCGTCCTATTCGACTCATTCGAACAACTACGTGAGCAAGCCACCTTTTTGTCATTCTGCTTCCTGCTTACATAAGATGAAGTAACTGGGACTTCTAAATTTCACGGGTCTATTTTTTTCCAGTTTCCCGCTCTTCTCATTCAATTTTCATGAAAGGAATGAATTTAAAACAGCAAATTGTAATGCACAGTTATATGCAAAGAAGTCTGCGTTATTTTATAATTATGTTATTTACTTATGTTTTTTAAAATAGCATGTGATATATCCCCTTAACTAAAGCGCATCCAATACTGCATTGCATAGTATGTGCTACTATAGTGCATAAAGGTCTTTGTAAATTAGCACCAGTGGAAAAGTATTCGCTGGAGTGTCATTTTTTCAAGTGTCAATGGAAAAGATGAATGCACGGATATAGATCCTGTTTGTTTTTAAGAGAAATGAACGTAGTGAAGACTATTATATAGGTCTGATTGATTTTTTTTCAGGAAAAAGGCTCTAATTATTACAGATGTGCATTCATACATATTAATGCATTTATGAAAGCACTTCGATATATATGCACTTTTTGAGTTTAATATAGAGTCTCTTTTCAAATGCGAATATGGAAATGATCCCAAAAAACGTGAACGACTTCTAGATTTTGAAAGTGGAATTTAATTAAGAGTAATGAATGTAGTGAAGACTCTCATATTGGTCTTGGTGATTCCTTTTCAGGAAATTCTCCAATAACAAATTCTCCAATAACAACAGACGAGCATTCATTCATATTAATGCATTTATGAATGCTTTTAGGTATAAATTGAAATTTGAGTTCAATTGAAATTCATCCTCTGAAATTTACGTAAATAGCACTCTGCAAATACGAACGTGGAATTGGCTCGAACAAACGTGAACAATTTCTAAAGTTGAAAAATTTTTACCTATTAATCCAATTTTCTCAAATTGTGTTAATCTGTTATATATTTAAATGCGGACTTCACTATCTCGCCATGTTTAAGCTTTTTCAACGTATTAATTTTCCACGTTTAAGCTATATCGTATATTGCAATGGTTAAGATTTTTTTTTCGATTTTTTTTTCGTGAATTCAGTAATTATTCCACCGAGTTTAAAATAAGCAGCCTAATAGTGGGACGCTCTCAGGATTCCCATGATGTTGCGAATTTGGCCTCCAGTTAAGAATGCTCAAATCTTTTTAGTGTACGACGATTTTTGTACGAGATACGACGATTTTTGTGATTTTTTTCAAAAATTTTCAGAAAACTCAAATTACAAAAGAATTTAAAACTTGAAATTCCCATTCCTATATTTGAGTGCTTTCAGAGTACTCTCAAGGATTGCGAATCTTGTCTCCAAATGTGACGGCTCAAATCCCTGTGTTTTTTGAGATATCACGTTTTTTAAAATTTTTTCAAAAAAATTTCAAAAAAATTGGACGAAATTTTTTTCTTCAAAATCTAAAATTCTCAACCCTTTACTTGGTAGCTATCATAGTAATCTCAAGGATTGCGAATCTTGTTTTATTGAATAAGAATCCATCATAAATTCGTCTCGAAATTCAAATAGTGTTAATGCTATGTATTTTTAAGAGTCAATGAACTTATTTTAGTTTTGTATATAGGTCGCGATGATTTTTTTCAGCGAAAGTGTTAAGTTCACGAAAAACATGATCAGCTTCCTAGTTTGAAAATGGATTTCATTTTTACACAAGCAATGCTTGTGTTATAGTATGAACTATCTTTTTTCCAAACTAAGTCGCAAATATTTTTGCGACCCAAATATTGTTGCGATAAAATGTGTTCATTTTGATCGATAACTAGCTGATAAGTACAGCCAATGCTAAGGATTTTAACACAGACTATTATTGTTCCGACTTTCGTGACCAAAGCAATGGAATATTTGTGCTCAGTGTGTTTTTCTTCGGACAAATTTCGACTTTTTATTTAGCCATTTTTGACAGGATTTTTTTAAAAAATCATTCAAAAAGTATTGTTGTTCTGAGCTTAAATTTGAAAGATATTTCACTTGTGGTTATTTTTCGTAAAGTTATGGGGGTTTAAAAATTTTAACGCGCGATATATTTCGCGCTATTTAATTCGTCATAGAAACCGCTCCAAATTGCTTGAAGGAAGCTTATTTGCCATAATTGAATTGTTACTGGGAGCGAAATTTATCACTTTGTACTTAATATGGCGTGCGGGGATAATTTTCACAAAAAATCTCAAATTTAAAAAGAAAAATTTCATTTAATTTTCTATTGCATTTAATTTTTTCATGTTAAAACTGCTCTATAAATTTTTTGTGTGTGTTTTATTGAATAAGAGTCAATCATAAATTTGTCTCGAAATTTAAAGAGAGTTAATGCTATGTGTTTTTAAAAGTCAATGAACTTACTATTATTTTTTTATAGGTCGCCATGATTTTTTTGCAGCATAAGTCTTAAAATTTGTCCAGGCTCAAATTTATTTCGCGGTTTGATTTTTGATTGATTTAACGTTCAGTTCATTTACTTCGTTGAAATGAAGGCAAACTCCACTATCGTACAGCGAAAGTGTAAAATTCACGAAAAACATAATCAACTTCTAAATTCGAAAATGGATTTCAATTTTTAGGTTTCCCAGCGGAATAAAAATTTTACTTATTAATTCAGTTTTTTCAAATTGTGTTAATTTTATTGAATAAGAGTCAATCATAAATTTGTCTCGAAATTTAAAGATAGTTAATGCTATGTGTTTTTAAAAGTCAATGAACTTACTATTATTTTTTTATAGGTCGCCATGATTTTTTTGCAGCATAAGTCTTAAAATTTGTCCAGGCTCAAATTTATTTCGCGGTTTGATTTTTGATTGATTTAACGTTCAGTTCATTTACTTCGTTGAAATGAAGGCAAATTCCACTATCGTACAGCCAAAGTGTAAAATTCACGAAAAACATAATCAACTTCTAAATTCGAAAATGGATTTCAATTTTTAGGTTTCCCAGCGGAATAAAAATTTTACTTATTAATTCAGTTTTCTCAAATTGTGTTAATTTTATTGAATAAGTGGCAATCATAAATTCGGCTCGAAATTCAAAGAGGGTTAATGTCATATATTTTTCAGAGTCGATGAACGTAGTTCAGATTTTATAAAGGTCGCGATGATTTTTTTCAGGATAAGTCTTAAAGTTTGTCCAGGCTCAAGTTTACTTTTTTTGCGGTTTGAGTTTCGATTGATTTTAAGTCCAGATCATTTCCTTTTGTTAAAAGGAAGGCAAACGCCCCTATCATTGCACAGCGAAAGTGTAAATGTCACGAAAAACGTGTTCGACTTCTAATTTCGAAAATGGAATTTAATTTTCAGGCTTCCAAGTGGAATGAAAACATTACCCATTGATTCGTTTTTCTCTAATTGAATTAATATTATCAAAAAAAAGATGTCAAACATAAATTGTTGTTGAAGTTCAAAGAGCTTCAAGGGAATACATTTTTTCTTTTTAATTTTGAAACTTGAAGTTTTTTGTCTAGTCAAGATTTTTTCTGATTACTTGCGTTCATTGACACTGTTTGATGGCTATGTTTTTCTGTATTGGCCGATCTTGCTAGAGTCGTGCAAAATATATTCAATTATTCTCCGGTGTAACGATAATGAACAGAATTAAATGTAACTGGATGTCTTTTAGCGATCTCTGCCTCGAAATTACAAGGTAGGTTGGGCCTGCTCACCAGTATTATCATGTACTTTCTCGTCAAGTCTTCATTCCTATGTGTCTTATCATGTGTGAGAAAGGGTTGTGGAATGTATACAATACTAACAGGGATGGAAGGATCATTTAATAATTCATTTAATTTGGGTTGAGTTGAATCGTCATTTTCATCGATTTATTTCTGGTTGTTTGCATTGCTTCACTAACAAGAGTAGGAAATATTTAACTTTCTATTCAACATGCAATTGCTTTATAGGTTTTTATTTGTCTTTATTTGCAGCGATGCGCAAGTCTTTTTGCTTTAAAAGTTAGGCCAAAAACAAAATTTAAGTGTCTGGAAGTTTATTTACAGAATTTGTTGAAATTTGTTGAATGAAGTAATTTGGTTTGGTTTTGGTCAGTGGTGTTAATTTACCCGTTTCTAGATCATGAAAACTCTGAAAAAATCGACAGTGAATGAGTTTTTAAATGATCGAGTGATGCTAGTATCTCATTAGTGATCATGCAGTTTTTAATGTTAGATTTTAAAAAGTACTTTCAATTGTGACGTCGCAGTTTAATCTACGTAGGAGTTTTATCATTTGCATGCTTTGTAGAATAGTCAAGTATAGGGTTATAATAGTTTGAGTTTTTTTAAGGTGCTCCGATCTCCGCTTTCGCAACAGCAACCTCCGAACAGTTTGAACCTCTCCTCGGCATCTTCTGTGCAACGCAGGGGAGTATTAGGCTCCACTGGGGGTTCTAACAGCAACATAAACTCTCCCAGTCTGCTGAACAGAACAGGTCCAGCTGCATTCACCCAACCACGAGAGAGAAAGTCATCAACTAGCAGCAATAAGAGCGCATCTGGAATAGGTGGGTGTTTTGTTTTGATTGTCGGCTTTGTTCCACATCCCTGATTATTTATGTTCCGACCAATTGAAAAATGGGGACGAACTTTGTATTCGGGTGTTATGATTTTTTCTTTTTGTTTTCCACGCCAAATCATGTACTACAAACTATCATTGGACTGAGTCGAGTGATATATCATTTTGAAGCCCTTTCAGCCATGATTCGAACGACTTTAAAAAGTTTTAATGAAAATTTTGTTTAAAAAAACTGTTTGCAATTGGCCTATTTTACTATGACTGTCGAATATGCCGAAGTTCTAGCTTTTTGTTCAGATTTTTTTTATCACACCACAAAACGACATAAATTTGAAAAAAAAAACGTATTTTGTAAGACTTAAAGTCGGAACATTCTGTGTTACTTGCAAAGTAACCGGCTATCCTTGTTGTTTGATGAAATTGTTTTATGAAGTTGTTTCGGAAAGTAAATACTGAATATTATAGTAGAATCTATCCCCTGATTGAATATCTAAGTTGTTGAAAATTTGAATACCTATGGAATTACTCTAGTGTTCTACTTGGATATTTCCTTTCCGCTTTGCAACGTATCTTTTTTTTCGGACAATTTAAAATTCGTTGCTTTCTTCTTGGTTTTTTCCACAAACTGAGCTTGACTCGGTGATGTTTCATGACAACATTGCTTCGACTTAGTAGTGGAAATTTGTTGAACTGTATGTGCATGTGTTTCAGTTGGAGGCAGTAGTGGTAGTGGTTTCAACGTGGCCTCGGCGGGGGGACTGTCTTCTGCCCGCAGACCACCTTCCACTGCAGGGGGAGTGGGGGGAGCAGGGGACGACGAGGGACTATCTTACCAATTTCACCACCAGCAACAGCAAGGAGTCTCGCCCCTGACACCCAACAGCCAACAGGCCTTGTTGCACAAGACCACCGCGGACATACACAAGTACTTCGGCGATTCAGGTCGTTCTGCCGAGGGCTACGACAGCGGTGAGTCATTATCTCGAATAAGAGCGAGTAATACATGTGCTTGTTAAGTTCAAGAGCATTAGATAAATTAACGAACAGTTGCCAAACACTGTTAGATGTCATGATTCAAATCAATACAAAAAGTTAGCGCACTATGTTCAGCTGTTTTTCTCTGCTAAAAATAATTTTAGGATCTTTTCTATTGTAGCCCCCCCCCCCCTCATTGCATGATTACAAAAAGTTATAGTCTCTCTATTTTTTTATTTGGGGCTAAAACAGGAAAGCCTAATTTTTTTCAATGGCCGGGTTCATCGAAAAATTGGATGTGTGGAGAATGTTTGTAGGTTGCAAATTTTTCCTTGATGGATCAAAGGTTTCTCTAAAAAATTACATCATCTTTCAGCAGTCCCGCCTCTGACAGAGCAGAAAGGTGATCTGTCGACTGAGCCGTCTGGGGGTAAAAAAAACTTCCTCTTTTCTGCGAAATCTACTCTTTATAATTTTAAATTATGATAGTTCTCCTGTATTTGTGATCTCATTTCCCGAACTAATACTTCCCTAACAAGTTTTTCTTAGCCATATTGAGGTGATTCAAAGCGCCTTTGAGGTATTCTTGCTGTGAAAACGCCTTGGAGGCAAAGTTACCGATTCTTTATTACTTCAAAGACTAGTCACGGGATATTTTTGCTTTTCGCGAGCAAGTGAACGGAATTTTTCTTCACGTTTTTGTCGTTTTCACGGCGTCTACTACAGATAAAAGATTGAAGTTTTGACACATGCTAGAAGAAATCACTTGGAAGCAGCTAATTGAATCAAATATTGAGAAGTTTTGTTTTAAAGGCGTAAAATAGCCAGTAAATCATAACTAGTTTCAGATGAATCGAATCGAATTTCTTGCTCTGGAAACATACTCAAAATAAACAAGGAATTTGAATTTAAGGGCTCAAATTGCTTCTTTTGGAAGCGTGCGATCACCTTTTACACTGCGACAACCATAGACAAAAGAATTGAGAGAGTTTCTTAACTATGATGATTCATTGTTTTTGTATTTGCCTTCAGGTATCCCTAGTATGCCCAATTCGAACGTTGACCTTCACGGAGATTTAGGAAGCAACAACCGCATCTACGACCCCAACCATTACGCAGACAAGAGTGGAATCCTCGAGAGTCCGGACTTCATAGCGAAGCGCACCTTCGACCTCGAGGACGACGTGGACGAGTACCTGTGTGACAACAACAACACAAGCGAAGTGGTAGAAGGAGATGGAGACATAGGGAAGACGACATCAGTGACTTCTAAGATAGACATGCAACAACAGCAGGAGGATGAAAAGCTCGTTGAGGCCATTCTTCAGGTCAGTGAGTTTCGTTGGTATATACACCAGCAGAAGTATAAACCTGTTACTTTATAGACCAGCTACTATATACACCGGCTAGCATAGTTATGCAAATGTCTCCAAATAAGACGTAAGATTCGGTTGTCTTATGGTTCGGCTGAATTATTGACCTTGAATTGAAATGGAGATTGAGGTCAATGACGTTTTGCAAAGTTTCTTTTTGAAAAACTGTTTTTAATTGAAAAACTCTGGTATTCCATGTGATTCCTGATAATTTTGACGTTTTTTGTTGCTCATGACGATTTAAATTTGGCTGAAAAAAAAAAGATTTTCGGCCTTTTATGGTTAACTCAGTGCATTAGAAAAACTTACTATCGGGGCATTTGAGAGGAAATAACGAACTTCAACCAAACTTTTGAAGTAAATGCAAGACTAAGAAATAGGTGTTGATGTTTTTGTTAACCAGCTGAGAAACTTACAAATTTGATCAATGTCGTCTTAGGAACTAAGTCATCACAACTCGCGTATAGAGCAGCGCAAAAGTGCTCTCATCTCTCTCACCAAACTAATCAAAGAGGGCAACTCAGTGGTGTGGGAGGAGCACTTCAAAATGTGCCTGATGATGTTGTTTGAGACTATGAGCGACAAGGAACCCTCGATTAGAGCACTGGTGCTGAGAGTGCTGAAAGAGTTCCTCAAGTACCAGCAGCATAGGTTCCAGAAGTACTCCGAGATCACTATTCTAAAGACACTAGATGCACACAAGGACTCACACAAAGACGTTAGTCTTAGATTTAAATTCTGGACCATTTTTATTCTGGTTTCTGAGTTTTAAAGTAAGATACTTGAATGAACTTAAATTGAACTTGAACAAAATGTTTAAAAAATGTTTTTTTTTGCATAATAAATGCAATTCAAGTGAATTTTTTTCTTAAGAAGATAAGATTTCAAAGAAGATAATTATGTAGAAAATAATCAAATATTTGGCTGTTTTCTGTGTTCTACCCCGAAGTTCCTGTTTGATTTATTAAACAGGTATTATGAAAACGTTTTTTTTTTTCCAGATGAGATTTTTTTGAGACGCTTTTTTGAGAAGCTTCACAACTCGGTACTTTTTTCACTTTTTGCCCATTTTTTCGGAAATTTCAGATTTCCTCAAAAACTACCCGTCCAGATTTGGGATTAAGGGTTTAATCGATAGACCAGGTTGTAGGAAACTCCCATGCACAAGCGGCTCGTCCCTAATTTGCTTAGGGGAAGAGCTATAGACTTAGGAAAAGTCACTTTTTTGATTTTTTTGCCTATTTTTTCGGAAATTATCGATTTCCTCAAAAACTACCCATCCAGATTTGGAATTAAGGGTTTAATCGATAGACCAGGTTGTAGGAAACTCCCCCGCACAAGCGGCTGGTCCTTAACTTGCCTAGGGGAAGAGCTATAGACTTAGGAAAAGTCACTTTTTTGGCCTTTTTTCAAATCTTTCCGATTTCCTCAAAAACTACCCGTCCAGATTTGGGATTAAGGGTTTAATCGATAGACCAGGTTGTAGGAACCCCCCCTACACAAACAGCTCGTCCCTAATTTGTCTAGGGGAAGAGCTATACACTTAGGAATAGTCAATTTTTCGGTTTTTAGGCCATTTTTTCAAACTTTTTCGATTTCTTCAAAAACTACCCATCCAGATTTGGGATTAAGGGTTTAATCGATAGACCAGGTTGTAGGAAACTCCCCTGCCCAAGCGGCTGGTCCTTAATTTGTCTCGGGGAAGAGCTGTACACTTAGGAAAAGTTTTTTTTAAAAGCGTAGGAAGGGCGCTATCGACTTGAGAAACCTGAAATTTTAAAACAATTTTAAAATAATCAATATTAAAATAATCAAACAGGTCTCTCCAGCTTTCAGCTGGGCCCCTAGTTTGAGTTTCACCTTGATAAAAAAAATAATTTGACGTTGTCTTAATCAGGGGCGGATTTAGGGGGGGGGGGGGCGGGGGGCATGGACCCTTCCCCCCCTCAGTGATTCGACCCCCTGCCGACCCAAAGGGTCCCCCCTTTGACACTTTTTCAGAAATCCATTTTTGGCCAACCGACCCTAAAATTTTTCTAAAGGCGCCTTTGGCGCCAATATATACTAACTTTGAGGGGGAGCGCGCGCCAAAAAAAACGCGATTTTTTGTCAAAGTTTTTCAAAAAGTGCCCAAAAACGGCTTTTTTGACTGTTTTTTCAAAAATTTGCCTGCGGCGCACAAAATTCTGCCGAAATAGGGGCGAAAACAGTGCTTTGGGAGAGCTCGAAAAATCAATTTGGTCGACCTAAAAAAAAGGTCGTCAAAATTTTCGAATTTTTTTTTTTTGAAAATCCGCCCCCCCCCCCCCCCCCCCCCCCCTCGAGAAAATCCTAGATCCAACGAAATTTTGCATGGTTATCAGATTATTTATTCTGAGATATTTTATAAGCGTTCAGCCATAATAGCATTAAAAACACAAAAAATGAAATTTATTAAATGTGGTGTGCAAGTGGACAATTCTTCTACGGTTTCATAGATTTTGTTCTACTATAGCTTCCACTTAATGTAGGTGGTTCGAGCTTCGGAGGAGCTGACGTACAGTGTTGTGAATGCGATAGAACACACTAGGTGTCTTCAGGTGCTCTGTCCTGTCGTGTCCGCCGGCGACTTCCCCATCAATCAGACAGCCGTCAAAATGCTCACTAAGGTATATAATAGGAGGCGAAAAAGAGCGATAACTTTAAATAAATAAACAATTCATGAAAAAGCTGCTGTAACGAACGAATTATATCGCCCAATGTCACCCATGTTGAGTAATACTAATCAAAAATTGTTCATTCGAAATTGAGAAGTTTTTTATGAACTATTTACGAACTCGTGATCAAATTTAAACAACTTATCATTATTCGCTCTTCCTTAAAATTGAGTGGAAGTAACAAAAAAATCAGACCTCTTTTCCTCTAGACTGCAAAAAAATGATTTTTTTTTGCATCCTAATCACGACTTGAAAGGCTTCAATATTAAACCGTGCTTAACCCCCACTGATTTTTTAAAGTAATCAAATTGGGCGTAAAAAAAGCCTAAGCGCAAAAAAAAACGAATGACTTTTGTTTCGATTGGATTTGATTTTGGGATACACAAACTGCTTTTTGATCCAGTTTTCTCCAATTGGTTCAGTTTGTCCAAAATTAAAGCTCATCATAAAAAAAATATTCTTGAACTTCAAATGGCCTTAAAAAGGCATGTTTTCTTGGAATATGAATGAAAAGAATCAGTCGTTGTTTTTCGGTTTTCTTGTTCATTGGCACCTTTCCAACCATCTGTTGGCTGTGTTAGATCATAGAGGACTCCCCTCCCGAGGAAGTTGAGACGTTTGTGGAGCAGGTGTGTCCTGCTCTGATGAAGGCCTACGAGCACCAGGAGAGCAGTGTGCGGAAGGACAGTGTGTATGGACTAGTGGCTGTCCATCAGAAGGTCGGACAGGCCATGCTCGACCAGTACACCAACCAGCTCTCACACGGAAAGGTATTTTGTATCCTTTTTTCTGAAATACATTCAATTTCAGTTATATTCATGATTTTTCTTTTCAATCAATGCTTTTATACCCTGTGCAGCAATCAAAACTAACGAGGATCTTACATTTTATTCAATTCTGAGCGATAAAATTACGGTATGAAATTCTGCGCGATAAAATTACGTTATGAATTTTAACCATGTTATGATATAGTGGCTTCTCAAAAAAATGTCTTAGAAAAAGAGCCACGTTCAAAGTCTTATGGCTAGAAAGCTCATTGCTATTATTTCTAAATTTATTCTGTATAATCACCGAACGAAATCGAACCTGAATAGAAATGCGAACTTTTAATTTTTTTCCAGCTGAAGTTGCTGCGACTTTACATCTCAAGGGCAAGTTCTGGAAATTCGAACTCCGGAGGAGCTGCATCGTCCAACGCAGGAGCGGCTGCGTCTGCCTCTGGAGACAAAAAGTCAAACCCGTCATCTTCGAATCACAACTCGGTCGCCCCATCTCTCAATCAACCACAACAGATTGCGACCGGCTCAAAGACTTGATCTCAGGTCAAGCTTCGAAATATAAAAAAGACTCAACAAGAAATGTTTTGAACATTAAGAAGCGATATTTTAAAAGAGTGAAATAAGTAGATATAATATTAGTTTTGGGTACAATTTTTCATAGTTATGATGCTTAATTATTGCTATTGTAATATGAATTGAGCAATTTTTCTACCAATTCGATTTTGTGCAACTGTCTTAATGTGTTTTTTTTTGTGTATAATTGTTTGCTTATACTCAATTTGTTCAAAAGCTTTGTTCCACTCAGCTGGGTGATGTATTTTATGCCGCGCTTACGAATTTTACCCAATTGTAAGCATTTGAATGTAGACTTAAAATGAATTAATTAACTGTGTGGTTTGAATTGACCAAAATTTCACCTCAACCAGAAGAAAACACCGTACTGCAAAAAAGACGGCTTCTCAAAAAAAAAAACGAAAAGTAAGATCGATAAAAGAAAATATTTCTAAGTTTATGAGTCAAAAAGTTTCAACTGCGGAGAAGCCGTCGCGTTATTTCAGACATTTCCTTTTCCAGTTTTGTATTAGATTTGATTTAATGAATCTCGTTGAAATCCATTTTAATTTCAACAATTGTTTTCATTCGAAATTCAACCAACAGGAAGGCGTAACTCCAAGCTGGGAAGAATATTAAGAAAACGAAGAGATGCGACGCACTGTCACCTCGTACCAATGGTGTGCTTATAAACGTATTTGCGAACCTAAGTGGCATTGTCAAGCCTTATCAAATCGGAATATATACTTTTTTCGGGTTAACAATTAGTTGATCCAAAATGAACTAATTGCCCACTGATTACTATTTATTCAACTATTTACAAAATCACTGAATTCTTTGTGCAGCATTCAATTTTGCAGCAAACATGCAAAATTACTTGAAAATTTAACTACTGGTTACGAAAACTAGTTGACGGCGATGGAGTTAGGCTCGAAATTGGTCAGCACCAGTTTTTTAAACACAAAGTAAATTGTATCAAAAATTCGGTCCCCCCCCCCTGTTTAACTCTAAACAACTTAACACCCTACAATTTGACTCCCTGCTTTTTGTTGCCTTAGCAATTTAACATCGCTAAATTTTAAAACAATTTCTATGACTTAACACCGTTTTAATCCAAAATGAAAAGAAAACTTACTTGAAAGGGGATCTCGGTAACCATCAAAGAATTAAACGAGAGACATTTTTGCCATTTAAAGCCAGAACAATTTCGCGCTACTTAGTTCCCGTAAGTTTTGAACAGAAATGACCTTGCAAATGATTTCAGTGAAACGTTTCAAACCAAAATGAAATGGTATTTTCAAGGAATCAATCCAAAATGAACCAAAAACAAGCAATAGTTCAATGAACTTCAAAAGCCCGCAAATAATTCGACGTCCTTTGACTAATATGGCCTAATTTTCTAGACATTTTCAGCCGGTATAGAAATTTAAAAAAGGTTTAACCAATGCCAAAAGCCTAAAAATCATTATTTTTTAGAATCATTCTCGAACTTAAACTTATGACCTGATCGCTTTGTCAACTTTTTTTGAACTGTTGGCACATAAACGCAAAGCTAAATGGTTTGCCAGCCCGTAGTCCCAACCTAGCATCCCGAAAATAAAGGCGATTGTCCTGGGATTAAATTGCTAAGGCACTAATCATGTTCTTGCGTTTAGTTACGTTTCCGGGAGTTTGCAAGGAAACGTCTTCTCAAAAAAAGCTGTTAAAATATTCAGTAGGGTTAAAATTTGAATATTAATTTTTACGAAAGAGTAAACAAAAATGAAACAAAATTTACAATGGTTTAACACAAGCTAGATAACGCTCTGAAAAAGTACAGATCAGTTTTGTCCTCGTGAACGGACATTGTTTTGGACTCTTTCATTTAATACTCGATACTTTTTCTTTTTAGTGAACTAATGGCCACTCGATGCATCAAAAAAGTTGAGTTTTTGTACGGCTGCCCACTACTTTCCACATGTTTGGGTGGGCTCCGCTGAAATATGATTGAATCCCGAAGTGCCATCCCTCGACAGCATTTGTTGTTCGAGCAATCTCCATCACGGCCGCATCTCGCTGGTTCAAAAGGGAGGGTGTGAATGAAACTTCACGGTTTGGCACCAAGCTTTTTATATAAGTAGAGCCGAAGTACAGACACAACTCGTCAATTTTCTCAATTTTCTTGGGTTCCAAAGAATTTCTGTCGCATACATTCTGAATTTCCTGCACGATCATGTCATAGAAATCGCCGATCTTTTTTTTTCGAATGCAAGGGATGGCAGCATTTTTAAAGTGACTGTCAAAATTTAATTTTTTCAGAATTTTTACGTCAAATTGTTATGAATTAGCACAAGCAGCTTTTTTAGTAATCATAATGGTTTAGCGAAAAGTCTAATTGAAAATAAATTACAAACTTGTAGATAGTAGTCTTAAGTAAATTAGGAAGCCTCCTTTTAGCATGTATAACTAAGATAAACCAAGTTTTTCATAATGGTGCGTGTGTTAATTGCAGGATTAACTTTGGTGTGATAAGAGTTAAGATAAGGAATTCATACAGCATTAATTTTAATAGTGAAATGACTAGGTGTTAAAATGCACTGTGTTAAACTCGAAAATAGGAGTTATATTGTTGTCGATTTAAACTGTTTAGTAGTGAAATTTTAAGTATTAAAATGTACGGTGTTAAATTGTATGCCATTGAATTGTAGGACACCAAAAATTCGTCCTATCAGTTGTCTGCTTAGGTTTCGTCGGCTTAATTTCCAAATTTCTAACCTTTGTTGTGCTGTAGTTTAATTTTTTTGTCTCTCCGGCACGGTTGGACGGCAAAGGTTTTAAGTGTTGAGTCATTTTAGGTGTTGAGATTCCAATGTTGAGTCATTTCAGGTGAAACGTAGTTTCTTGCTCTCCTCTGGATTGCACAAATTGGTAAAATGGCACAAATTATCGTTTAAGTTTTTCATGGAATTTAATATATTCGGCTTTTTCTTGTTTTCCGTTTTTCGGCTTGATTGGTTTTGGCCAAAGTTATATTGGCTTAATGGCTTCATATTTTGTCTTTTGATGAGCGACAAAAATTTGTGTGTGCTTGTGTGTTTTGAGGCTGAGGGGCACTTAATAAGTTTTCATTAGTCTTAAATGTTTTGAACTTAATAACTTTTCTAAGCCTTAGTCTTGGTTATCTTTTTGGCTTAAAGTGTTTTAGTTAAGGTAATTTTAGATTTTTAATCGCTTGATGATTTTTTTTCATCTGTTGCTAATTTCATATTATATTGCCTTTGGATGTCTTGGTTTCAAAACTAGCTTGATCTATTTTGATTCATAAGTTTTTTTTATAATTTCCGAATTTTTTTCCGTTTTAGCGGTCTTTTTGTTTTGCATCGCGAATAGTGCGAAGCGCATTTTTGTCTCTGTGTAGCGTTATATGCTTAAAAGCCAGCTCTAAAATATAATCGATGCTGAAAAATTAAAACCTGCTCGTTTTACATAATTTCTACGACTCTGGAAGAAAACGACGAAATATTTCGGCGAAGTCTGTGGTTTTCGACGAATTTCGATTTTTCATTTAGACGTTATAAAGGGAACTGTTGCACGCTATCTGAAAAACATCAGTATCATCAGCTGAAAGTTGAAGAGATTTTTATCCTGTGATTATTTCAATGAAATGTTGCAGTCTTAGAAATTGCAACTTGTGATAATTGAAGCGCGTTATTACACATGCCAGAGCAAGTGGCTTGTTAGCAGCAGCTAGTCTTTTTTATTCCCATAACCAATTTTGCTTAGAAATCTATGAGAGTTCTATATATGATTGTTCTATATAAAACCTCAGTAACTTCGAATCCCTACTGCTCTAGTGGTAGAAAGCGTGCCTTGGGAGGTTTGGGTTTGAGTCCCTGTTGTACTTGGGCTTTAATGGTTTCGGTGTATGTAATATCGGCCAAAATGCCTAATAATAGGTCGTTTGAAAAGCAAAAATGTTTTATGCGTTTTTGTGATTCGGTGGACGCAACAACTTGAGATCTTGAAACTTAACATAAAAGTAATGGAACACTTTTTGTCCACGAAAGTACTGTCTGTCTAACTTATCACGCTGTAAATTTTTCTAGATCTAATTGAACGCTGTGAATTATGTTACTCGTTTTGTTCTCTTAAAACGAGGCATCATTCGGAATTTTTTTTTTTTAGATTTTTGGTATATTTTAAATGTTTTTATATCTCGAAGTAGCGGGTAACGTCCGCTGCGTTTCCATCCGCTAGCTTACAATACTTCGTGATGTATCGCAAGTTTATCAAAGCTCAGCTTCGCCTCTGTGGTTTGTTACGTTCTCTAAACGCGGTTACCTTTTATATTTTCAAAGTAATAACACAGGAGAACCAGAGCATTTTTTTTAAAAAAAGCAACGCATGGGGGCAAAACTATCAAAGGCAAATCTGAGTTTTTTTGCATTGTAAATTTTTCATCTCTTGTTGGTCCAAGTAAAAATTTTCAAAAGTTTTTATTTAAGTTTTTACTAGTTTTAGGTGTAGTGTTTTCGCCTGTATTCGTACAACAACTTTGCTTCCGTGTTGAATATTTGATAATTTATTTGATAATGTTTGAAATTTCCAAGTGTAATGAAAGTTCTACCAAGATCAGCTTTTAGAATTTTTTTAACTTTCACTAGAAAAAATAATTTCTTTGAAAGTTTTTCGAACGATGTACATTTCATATACTGGAGAACGCAGTTAATTTTAAGTAATTTGGTTTTTGTAGTACTTTCCGGGAATAGTTTTTTCCGAAAACTCGTTTTCATTTAAGTCACTTTAAGTGAAGTTTAAATAGCGTAAGACTTTAGATTGCAGAGTTCGCAGCGCAACCAAAAATTAACTCTAATGATAGTTTTCTGAGAAAACAATTGATCTATGAAATTAGCGCCGATCATAAAATTGTTAAAATCGAGTTTCAAAGTAAACCGATACGTTCATTGAAACACGGAAGCTGAACATTTTTTTTATTTTCGTGCATTCTTTAAGAGTTTTTCCTAACTTCTGCTGACCTCATTCACCAATTCAGGCCATCTATAAATAGAAGTGTTGCAAATTTTTCATGAGAAAAAGTTGTTTTGTTATTATGACTTTCAGAACTGTTTTCAACAGTTAAGTAATAGAAATTATATCCATATACTTGCTCAATATTGTACGCTCCAGACATTTGAAATTTCCTGGTGTAATTAAAGTTCTACCAAGATCAGGTTTTAGATTTTTTTAACTTTCACTAGAAAAAATAGTTTCGTTGAAAATTTTTCTTTGAATGTGTCGTTTCTGATTTCCTTAGTTTTCTAAACTGGCGCTGAATTCTGATACTGATCACAATTTGTCAAGTAAAAAGCATTCTTTTTGTCTTTTAGGGAATGTCTAGATTCGTCAAAAACACCATTACGCGGCCAAACTGCGTATTTACGCTAGCG